ACAACGGCTCCGGCATGTGCAAGGCCGGTTTCGCCGGAGATGACGCTCCCCGCGCCGTCTTCCCATCCATCGTGGGCCGCCCCCGCCACCAGGTACGGACTTTTCCAAATATTTTAATATTCAAATTTATAATATTTTTCATGTAAATATATCTTTATTTAATTTAATATAGAATTTTTTTCTATAAATTAAAAATTTAATCCAAAATCCTTTCAATGAAATTTTATCAATACGAAATTCGTATGCAAAAGCAAAAAATCTCCTTTTCATTACTATTATTTTTTTAAATTTTTTTCAGTTTCTCACCAAAATATTTTTAATTTTCCTATAAAAAGTTTTTATCGCTGACCGTCGAACTTTAAGACTAATGTGTAAATGTTCTCTTCCACAGGGTGTGATGGTCGGTATGGGTCAGAAGGACTCCTATGTCGGTGATGAGGCTCAGTCCAAGCGTGGTATCCTCACCCTGAAGTACCCCATTGAGCACGGTATCATCACCAACTGGGACGATATGGAGAAGATCTGGCATCACACCTTCTACAACGAGCTCCGCGTCGCCCCTGAGGAGCACCCCATCCTGCTCACTGAGGCTCCCCTCAACCCCAAGGCTAACCGCGAAAAGATGACCCAGATCATGTTTGAGACCTTCAACACCCCCGCCATGTACGTCGCCATCCAGGCTGTGCTCTCCCTGTACGCCTCTGGCCGTACCACCGGTATTGTGCTCGACTCTGGCGATGGTGTCTCCCACACCGTCCCCATCTATGAAGGTTATGCCCTTCCTCACGCCATCCTCCGTCTCGACCTTGCCGGCCGTGACCTGACTGACTACCTGATGAAGATCCTCACCGAGCGTGGCTACTCTTTCACCACCACCGGTAAGCATCCCCCGTAACTTCAACCTGACCAAGTTCGGTTGAATTTGTTGTTAAAATTTGTACTGACCAAATTTTTTTCTCTGCCCCACAGCTGAGCGTGAAATCGTTCGCGACATCAAGGAGAAGCTGTGCTACGTCGCCCTGGACTTCGAGCAGGAAATGGCCACCGCCGCCGCCTCCACCTCTCTGGAGAAGTCCTACGAGTTGCCCGACGGACAGGTCATCACCATTGGCAACGAGCGTTTCCGTTGCCCCGAGGCTCTGTTCCAGCCCTCTTTCTTGGGCATGGAGTCTTGCGGCATCCACGAGACCGTGTACAACTCCATCATGAAGTGCGACGTCGACATCCGCAAGGACCTGTACGCCAACACCGTCCTGTCCGGTGGCACCACCATGTACCCCGGTATTGCTGACAGAATGCAGAAGGAGATCACCGCCCTGGCTCCCAGCACCATCAAGATCAAGATCATCGCTCCCCCTGAGAGAAAGTACTCCGTCTGGATCGGTGGCTCCATCCTGGCTTCCCTGTCCACCTTCCAGCAGATGTGGATCTCCAAGCAGGAGTACGACGAGTCCGGCCCTGGAATCGTCCACCGCAAGTGCTTCTAAGCGCTTCACCATCAACAGCAGCAGCAACCGCCGCCGCCCGTATCTTTATTATTGTCCAACAACACCGGCCAAGCAGTCCGCCTGCCCCTGCTGGACTAATGTCGCCGTGCAGCATTATTATTATTATTTATTTATTTTTCATTTCGCCGCGCATACTCAAGCAGCCATTCTTGTTATCAAATGCTCATATTGAGAGAAATGTATCTGGACACAATAAAGGGCCTTGATTTATATTTGTTTTATAAATGAGCTATAATATCAGTATCATCTCATTCCGCACCTAATTCAGCACCCCGTCGACAACAACACAAACGTGGTGGCCTAATTTTTTAATTTTATTTTCGAAGCGAATTTCTTGCTCTCTCTCACCGCCTTTCTTTCTATGGTCGCTCTCGTTTTTCGAGTAAAATTATCTCACCGCACATTATTATGCAAAGGGAAGCGAGCCAAGTTTGAGTGAACCAAAATAGCGACACGCTGCTTCTTCGCGGCCAACGCGGCCTCCGTTACGAACGATCGCAGAGGAACATTAAATTTTCATCTATTCATCCTGCCAAGTGGCGATTCACAGTTTGTGCTCCTCGTGCTGTGGCTCTTTTGCCGCAAGTGTTTTTCACTTGTGTAACCGTGTGTAACACTTGCTGGTTTGACTAACTGCAAATAAAAGAGAATGACAAATAAAAAGTAACGAGAAACAACAACTTACAAAGGATGGTGTATTAATTTATTTTTATAAGAAATAATCCTGAACACTAAGTAAAAAATAACAAAAAAAATAATAATAAAGTTGCCAGATGATAATAGAACACTTTTCTTAATTTATTTATATCAATACTTTATCATAAAATATTGAATAAAACTATAAAGGGCATTTAATTTTTTTATTGTATCCATCTGCCTGGATGATTATGCAACCCGCAGAGCCAGTGACGAAAATTGAGCATGCACGCAGCGCGAGGTAAGCAGGTGCATGAGCGGCAAGAATGACGTCGCACGTGGTCTTTGCACCGGTGGATTTACTCTGGTGTTCACCACGTCGTATGACAAATGACACCTGATGCTCCTACGAGTAAAAAAAAACTGAACCGCTCTCCTTCTTCTGACACAATAAGCTCAAACATTGTAGCAAACGGCTATTTTGCTGTACTGAAAATACAGCTTCTCACCGGCTTTTGTTGTTTTGTTTTTCACTGACAAACCACTACGACGGAAATTTTCCGTTAATTTCTCAATCCTCGTATTAAGTAGTCACGCTTGTGATTGCAGTCGCAATTTTTTAGCACGCCTGTGTTGCTGTATTTTGCGTGTTTCGACGGCGCAATTATCTCCAGGAACTTTCCGTTTAAAAATTATTTAAATTTAATTTCTTGGCTTGAATGCCCGAATATATTATTTAAAAATTCAAAATTTAATTGTTTAATTATATAGCTGCGAATATGACAGACTTCTAAAAGATTTCATAAGTAATATTAAAAGCTATTTAAATTTTGACAGATTTTAACCGGCACCTTTCAATATATGTTCTTGATTCCCACAAATGGCTTTTAGTATGTACAAATTTTACAAGGGAAATATCACTTATGTGGTTAACGTGCCGAAAAATTACACGCGTCATTTGTGTACAAACTTGTGTTACTGGCTCGTTGTGCAATTGTGGCACATTTTCCAGCATTGAAAAGCTACTATTTTTCTCCTTTCTGTTAATTTTGCTGAATGAAATCATGCAAGTGACACTAGACAGAGAATGTGCTGGGGTTGTCACTTTCTTGCAGATATATAAGATCCATTGAACTTTCATCGATCTTTTATTGACTGAAAGCACATTAAAAATCGTAACGTTTTTCATTTGATTTCAAGTTTCAGGTATTTGTAATTGAAATTTCAAAATCCTACTCTAAATAAAAACCGAACGTTGGAAATGAAGCCATTGACCAATTTAAAGGGTACAAACAAATAGCGCCCCATCCATGCCCATTGATAAACATTATTTTGAAACTAAATAAAAACGTTTCATTTTGGGTTTTTTGATTTCTTATGCACATGATATTACTGTTTTGCTATTGAAAGTTGACTTTTTGATTCTCCGAAGCATATAAATACTCTACGACTTTGTTGTACAAAATTATAAAAAGAGTTTAGGCCCTTTTATTTGCAATTGAAATAATGATCACATGAGCGTGTGTTAGTTCTTTGTTATTTATTAAAGTTTAAAATTGTATTTAATTTATTTTAATTGAATAACTAAGATAAAATATTGTTACAAATTAATTGATTTTGTAATCATTTAATTTATTAATTTGTAATTATAATATTAAACGTTTAATTTTAAAGTTTTAGATAATGTAATTTCAATTGGCGGCTCAAAGTTCAATGCCTTGGGCGAGGGCGGCAGAATGTGGGGCAGCTACTGGAGAAGCCATAAGAGCCGGCTGACCGCAGCCTCGGGGGGTCGTCTGCGAGGCCACTGCGCAGAGGCCTTGGCCGCTAATCAATCGGCCGTTTGTTTCAATTCCGGTGACCCGAACTACGCACACCCTGCAATAGCGCAATTCAATATAAGTGGAAAAAAATGCACAAAATTTCAAACTTTTTTTCACAAAATATTCAATCTGCGCACTTTGAATGAAAAAAATTGTTGTTGTTTGCCAGTGAAAGAGAAACGGAGAACAAATACGTAGCTGTACCCAGCTAGTGATAAGGGAGGTGGGAGAGATTTGACTCGACGAGTGTGTTTCTGATGGAAGGAGCAGAAGATATAAAAGCACCCGGTCAGCCACTGGACCCCTCCAGTCTCAATCTTCGCTCTATTTTGCATTATCTACTGGATTACAAAAAGCATCAGGTAAATTAATTTTCTTTTAAATAATATTTTGATTTGTATCCATTCAATCAATTCCAATTAAAAATAATAAAAAAATTATTCTGCGATGTGGTAAAGCATTACTATTTTTATTAATTATTAAATTTTATGTTTCTTTACTTAGTTCATGATTTTTTTAATTGAAGCACCGGCCACGAGGCAATATTTTGGCGATTAGATAAATTAGCTTTAAATTGAAATAGTTCAAACTCCACTAGTTTGTACGATAGTTGCACTCGTGAGTGACTGATTGCTGGCCGATATTTACATCTAGTATGGTGTTTTGATGATTTCTTTAATTGTAAGAAATTCATAAAATATTTTCTTCTTTGTTCAAATTAATAAATAATATTTTTGATAAACATGCATGAATGAGATTAATATCAATTTTTAATGCACAACATGAATGATAATTTAAAGAAATCTTAAAATAAGAAGTCCAATGCGTAGGCTGATAATTTCAGTCCATTAACACTTGTCAACCGTCGTAATAGTCAATTTGTATATTTCGCAGTATTCGTGAATGACGTATGTTTTGATATCCTGCCCGCTTTAGCTCCTTTGGTGTGACGATTGCTTAACCTCTGGGGACGCTAATTCGAGCCACCCAAAGTTCACCAACTCGTGTTCATTCTCCGAGGTCAAGTCACAGAGTGCGCGACCACTGGGCAGCTCAAAAACTTTTGCGTTGACTTCTTGTCTTTCATCGTTCAAATTATCATATTAATTTCTTTAATTCCAAATAACGCAACAAGAAAGAATGCAAACACACTCGCAAGCAGACGGCCTTGAAAGAACATGATGAGCGCGTGAGAAAAATTATTTTGCATGTTTCACTTGTCAATCTTCAGTTTGACAAGTTGCGTTTTACTGAAAAGATTTCGAGCGTGCTTGAAAAAATTATGAAACTATTCGAAGGTCGTAGACCCGCGAGCGAGCCGGTGGCGAGGGCAAATTACAAAGCTCATCTCTCAAAGTTAAGGTGCATGCGCGCGTCCACCTGTTGATTTGTCACTTATTTATTGTAGATTACAAGTCAACTTTCTGGGACAAAGGAGATAAAAAAAAGCACGAGGAAAATGCTCACAATCAATCAATAAATATAAAAATAAGATTAAAACAAAATCGCTCTTCCCGCATGAGGTTTTTGGGCAAAACAAGTCACTGAAGCAATCAGAGCGTGGGCCATAATTGCCGCCTCCTCGCATTATCACCCCGCGAGATAAACAGCACCGGCCGGCCGGCCTGTTGGCTCTGGACAAACGAGGCCAGTGCAGATTGCGAATCTGAGAGTGCGCCGCGCTCGCTCGCTGTCAACAGCTTTTGCAACTGCGCGGCTCCGCGATGATAAGCGCGTCCGAGCTGCCCCCCCGGGTCAACGGGGGTCGCGTGGCGCAACCCCACGTGTGGCACACGTGATCTAAAAACGTTTTGATCGTTGGTCTCGTTGTGTGTACACACAGTAATTGCGCGGTGCATTATTGTATAAGCTTGAGCTTCCAGTAGAAAAGGTCCTTTAGTTGAAAATTTTTAAATTTGAATAATTTGAAATAATTTATATTTTTCTCTCTCTGTAAAAGTGAAAAGAATGAGTCTTTCTTTAGACTTAAGCATTTAAATAAAAAATTTATTCAATTAAAATATTAAAACAATTACAATTATTATTAATTATTTTTTTAAATAATAAAAATGACAAATTTCAATGTGATATCAAAATGTTTCACTTTAGATTTTTTGTAAAAGAATAATAATGTGATTTCAAAAAAACGATTTGATTTGAATTTAAAGGGAAAAATCAAATTAAAATATATTTTGTGCGCTATTCTTGATCTCAAATTTCCCAAGAAATAATTTTCCTATTATATCCCGGAGCTCGACTTTCCCCATTAACTCTTTGTTATCGCAGTAAACGGTGAGACTGGTTAGACGTTTATGTTTTGCGTAAGAATACAGGGAAAATGAGTCACTTGGAGAATAATAGCGTTTCATTCAGGGATCACGCATTGTCCGCGTGTTACGAGTGTGGGTTGTGTTATCGGAAAAAGAAAAAAAAAATGCTCTTTGCAATATTTCATAATTAGCAATTGGGTTCTTTCTTTATCTAGCGAGGAAAACAAATTGAATGTCAGTATGACTGACGTGTCTGTCATTGATTTTCTGTAATCATGAGTGACATCAGTGACAATTAATTGGAATTACTATATAATTTTCAATACCCACCAACTAGTTTAGTTAGGCTAAAATTACATTTTGTAGGCAACACTTAATAATATTAATGAATTCTTAAATTCCATTTACGTCTTTTTCTGGAAAAATAAGGAATTTTCGAGAAAGAAATTTTTACACAAAAAACTTTTTATCATGCACTGACGAGTTCCAAATTTAAATATGTATATAATTTATACATTCTTTTTATCTTTCTGGAACATTAACAGATTTTTTTATGAATAACTTTTATTTTCTAGAATTCCGCCCCAAATTATGAGAGAGATGGTGCCCGGACGGGCCTTCCCGGCACCGCTGGTGGTCGTCTCGAACCGACTACCCTTTGTCCTGGCTCGAGCAGACGATGGCCGCCTTGAACGCAAGCAAAGGTATGTCAAGTCAACAGACACACGCGTTTCAAAACAAGCAGAGGCGTTAATCGCGCACTGTCCCATAATAATAAGTTGACTTTTGCGGCGTATTTCCCGTGTCAGTGCACATTTGCACACTTGACAACCTCACGGCTTACTTTCCCGAGTCAACAACAAAACACTGCTGCATCTGGAATGCTCACTTTTACTGATAAGCACCAAAGGGTGCCATCAGATGATGATCAATTTACGAGTTTGCAGTAAATTACCATTTGCTCTCTTGCTGTTTGCTCCCAACAACTTTGATTTGCTTACACGACTCATATCATTTGCTCAAATCCTTATCAGGTTATAACATACACTCATATAACCAGTTATAATTTTTTTTTTATCTTTAATGCTTTAAAAATTATATTAAAATAAATATTCAGTTTAAAAAAAAATTGCACTTATCCCTCAATTTTGAAAAGTATTGTAAAAAAATTATATAAATGTTTATAGTGCGGGAGGTTTGGTGACCGCGGTTGCCCCAGTGGTGATCGAGTGCAAGGGCACGTGGGTTGGATGGCCTGGAATTTACGACATGCTCCCTGAGGAAACGATTCCCGAGTCAGACGCCGGCGACCAGGCACCCACGGCAGGACTCAAGTCTGACCAGGTTACACCTTGGACTCAAATCGGAAACTGGTTTTTTTTAATCGCGAACAACTTGAAAATTCAGGTCGTGGCCGTGAACGTGGCCAAGGACAAGTTCGACGCGTACTACAACGGTTGCTGCAACGGAACCTTCTGGCCGCTGTTCCACTCCATGCCCGACAGGGCTGTTTTCAAAGCGGACACTTGGAACGTGAGTAGTATTGTTGAAAAAAATATTATAATATTATTTTAGGAAATGCATGGCTAAAGTTAAAATTTTGATATTGATATTACAATCGATCAAAGTTCTTTAATATAAAAGAAAAATTCTAATTTTTTATGCTGCACCGTTTATAATCGTTTTAATTAAAAATACTTAATTATTTATTTACTTGAAACTGCTTGAAACAAAAAAGTTAAGTGGCTTTGATAATCGCACGAAGTCGCGAAAAGAGGCTCGCCCGGCCTTGGAATCATATGTTGCGATAATTATGTCCTCTTGCCCACACACTCAATTAGCATCTTGATGATAATGTTTTAAATCAGCAATCTTTATACTTTTCTCCACGCGCAAAATTCAATAATTTAAATAAAATATACACACAATAATATGAATATTAAATAATTCCTACCTTATCGTCTGTGTCTTCAGGCCTATTGCGAGGTTAATGAGGAATTCGCCCGAAGCACGCTGAAGGCTCTGCGGTCCACCCTGGCCAAGCTGGACGCTGAAGGTAGGACGGACGTGTCACCAATCGTCTGGGTCCACGACTACCAACTCCTCGTAGCCGCCGCGTCCATCAGGAAGGCGGCCGAGGAAGAGGGGTTGCGTTTCAGACTTGGTTTCTTCCTGCACATTCCGTTCCCGTCGTGGGACATCATGCGACTCTTCCCGTGGGATGACCAGATTCTCCAAGGAATGCTCGGTGAGATAAACAAAAACAAAACTTGTCGTCTTCCAAAAATAAAAATTCATTTCTCCGTCAGCTTGCGACGTGGTGGGTTTTCACATCGAGGACTACTGTCTCAACTTCATCGACTGCTGCTCTCGCCGTCTCGGATGCAGAGTCGATCGGAACCAGATGATGGTGGAGTTGGCCGGAAGGACAATCCACATTCGCGCCCTTCCAATCGGAATTCCATTCGACCGTTTCGTGGAACTTGCAGAAAATTCCCCGAAGGTTCGTCTTATAATTCAAACCACCGATGTATTATTATGAGAAGATCAAAATTGACGATTAAGCACAGAATGCATGACATTGTTATGCACACATGAAAACAAGGCGAAACTTCAGAAAAATCATAACAAATGGAAGGGGTTTTGCTGAGCCGTGGGAGGTAGGGGAGGAAGCAGGGTGGAGGCGCGGAGACTTGATCGCTTGCAAGAGGGCGGGAAAATAAAATGTCATGCGGTATAATCGTAATTATATGTGCGCAAGAAATAGCAAATTTTGCAATTAATTCAAAGTTCTGATCTCTTATGGTACAATATTAAAATTCTTATTGTTTTTGAAACGCAAAAAAGGGCTCTTTGTTTACTTAAGAGCTCACATGGCCTTTAAAGATCACGCCCTTGATCTTTCAGTGAATGGCAAGAGAATATGAAAACAAAAATGAATTATCTAATCATTCCATCGCTACTGTTAATTTTTTTGCAAAGCTTATAAAATGCTCAAGGCTGTGAGGTAGAATGGCTCGTTTGTTATTTTTCTTCATTTGAAATTCAAATAGGAAAAGCGAAAATAACTTTTGTCACCATGCAAACAAAAATGATTATTAGTTTGAAATGAATAATACCCTTTCTATGGTATCTAATATAATATGTATATCTTTAAAAACATTCTACCTTATTTAATGAATTGCAAACATATATGTTTGATCATCGAACAACAGTAACAACACGCATATATTTAATTACTTTTAAAAAAAATTATTTAAAATATTATTTTTATAATTTTTTTAAAATTGTTTTTGTTTAGGTGCTAAAAACAACAGAAGAAAAGACAATTCTCGGCGTGGACCGACTGGACTACACCAAGGGTCTGGTGAACCGCATTCTAGCTTTTGAGATCCTTCTTGAAAAACACCCTGAATACCTGGAGAAGGTCACCTTCCTTCAGATATCGGTTCCCTCTCGCACGGACGTCAAAGAGTACCGACAGCTCAAAGAGGAGATGGACCAATTGATCGGTCGGATCAACGGCCGTTTCTCTCGGGCCAACTGGTCGCCCATTCGCTACATATACGGCTGCGTATCCCAACAGCAGTTGGCCGCCTTCTACCGCGACTCGGCAGTGGCCCTGGTGACGCCTCTGCGCGACGGAATGAATCTCGTAGCCAAGGAGTACGTGGCCTGCCAGATCAGGGAACCAGGCGTGCTGATTTTGTCTCCATTTGCTGGTGCCGGCGGCGCCATGCACGAGGCCCTTGTCGTCAACCCGTACGAGTTGGACCAGGTGGCCGAGACCATCCACAGGGCCCTTTCGATGCCTCTGGACGAGCGTGAGTTGCGAATGACGCAGCTGCGCAGGCGAGAACGCCACAACGACGTGTCCCGATGGCTCGAGTCTTTCCTGGACGCCATGGGAGGCGTCGAAGACGGATCGTCTCTGGCCGGTTCCCTGTCACCGCTCACCCTAGACGATTTTGGGCAGTTCTTGGACCTGGACGCCGCCTGCAAACTCAGCCTGATTCTTGACTACGACGGCACCTTGGCTCACCTGGCAGCGCACCCTGACCTCGCAATCATGCCTGCAGAGACGAGGAGGGTCCTTGAGAGGTTGGCCAATATGTCCGATGTGAACGTGGTGGTCATTTCCGGACGTTCGCTGGGCAATTTGAGCAGGATGGTTGGCATTGACGGCATCACCTATGCTGGCAGCCACGGCTTGGAGATCCTCCACCCTGACGGAACGAAATTCGTCCATCCTGTGCCATTGGAATACGAGGAGAAGTTGAGGGAGTTGCTGAAAGCGCTGCAAGATGAGGTAAGATTCAAACGAAAATTAAAATTATAAATCTCAAAAATTATTAAAGCACCTTATAATAATTTTAAAATATATTTCTTTAATTTAAAATGATAATAATTTCTTTTTTCCTTTTTTGTTAATGAACAATGAACTTAAGTTTATAGTTTATTTATTTAGCTTTAACGCCTGCAAAATGCTTAGCATGCAACAAGCATAACTTATAAGTGATGCAAGTTGCATAACTTTCAAGTATATTAATTTATTATTTTTTTTTCTTCCTGTGGAAATATTTTTATAAAAAAAATAATTTGTAGGTGTGCCGTGATGGAGCCTGGGTGGAGAACAAAGGCGTTCTGCTGACATTCCACTACCGGGAAACTCCAGTAACAGCCAGGGCTGCGATTGTGAAGCGTGCCGGCCAAATTTTCAAAGAAGCCGGATTCGAGCCGCACGCAGCACACATGGCAATCGAGGCAAAGCCGCCTGTGCGCTGGGACCAAGGACGGGCTTCTATCTACATTCTGCGCACCATGTATGGCGTTGACTGGACCGAGAGAGTTCGAGTTATATACGCTGGAAATGAAGACGCAATGCAAGCGCTGCAGGGAATAGCCTGCACCTTCAGAGTCGACTCAAGTCCAGCCGTTCGTACCGCAGCCAACTTCAGGTAAAAAAAATTAATTTGAATCGAGAATTTTGTAAATGTTTGAAATAAAATTGAATTTGACTATTTAATGCTTTACAATTTTACAGGCTGGCAGATCCAGATGCAGTTTTGACTATGCTCAAGTGGGTAGAGAAGCAGATGAACAAGAGGTCTCCAAGGTTATCGAGGTCTCCGCGCCTTGGTAGATCGCCGACTCAGTGCATTCACGCGCAAATGAGCTTTGAAGACGACGATGACGATATCCGTAAATCGCATGGTCTCAAAGCAATTGTGCGAACGGCTCCACGTGAGACCCTGGTCAATAAGGCCTTATGAAAAAAAGACTCGGTTGGCTGTGAGATTGTGTACATACACGCATAAGTTAGGCATTTAGGTTGTTAATTGTGATCATTTATTAAACTATATTGCTATTCTTGTAAAAAAAATTGCATTTTATTTCTTTAAAAAGCACTTTCTTATTATATGCGGTGCGATGAAGAATTGAGAATTCAACCCGTTTCAAAGCTAAATGTTGGGTTACGAAGAAGAAATTAATAGCAGAAAAATTTTATGTGCGGTTAGCTCGCCTGTTTTATTACTCTAAATACAATTAAATAATCAAGTTAGTCAGGAATGCGGCAAGAGTTATCACATGGTATTGTCGAGTGCTGGTAAGCTCCTATGCGTCCCTAGTTGAGCAAGCACTAATATTAGTACATTGAATTTCCCCGAAAGTATATATTTCTTAATATAATTTATTATTCTTCTTTGAGACGTTATCTTAATTCTTTCCACGAACAGCAATATATCAATTGTGTGCAGCGCGGTGGCCAAGCATGTAGTTGGCCCAACGGTTGGCGGTGCGCGCGAGCAGCTCCTCGGCAGGCTCCACCGTGGCAAGCAGCAGCAGTTGGTTGACGTGGGTGGCGTGGTAGTCCCACCGGGCCACGTTGGGCGCGCAGCCCACGGTCACGTGACGCAAGTCGTAGACCGAGCCGCTGCCCATGTCATACAAGGGCAGCAGGGCGCGCAAAGAGGCCAGTCCCTCTGCATAGAGGGCGGCCGCCTCCTTGGAACGGCCGATCACGCGCAGGTCGTGCAACCCCAACAGGGCATAGATGAATCCATTGAGCACAAGTGACGGGGGTGAGGTGGGATATTCTTCGAACCAAGGGTGGCCCCACAGGGAGGTCCGGACGCCTCCCCTGGCCGAGGCCACCCGGAAGGGTCGCAGACCGTTTTCGGCCGCCGTCAGGTACTTTTTGTCTCCTGACCGCAGGTAGGCCCTCGCCAAGATGGAGGCGGCGTGCCCTTGGGCCATGGCCGAGAGCCAGCCAGGGGCCAACACCGACATTCCAGCGGCCAAACGGCGCCGGACTGGAATCTGCCACCCGCCTTCAGAGGTCTGGTGGCGCACAAACCATTGGGCCGAGGCCCAGAAAAGGGCCCCATGATTTGACCCAGAGGCGATGGAGAGATCATCAAGACGGCCCTCGCCGTCCAAACCAATGGCCACTACTTGCAGGCCTCGCGGCCGCCTAGGGGTGCGAATAGCTTTGTGCAGGTCTAGGGCTAAGTCTCGGCTAAGTCGGATCCAGCGGCCGCAGGACCCCATCCCGTAGAAAGCGTCGCGGCCGTCGGCCCACACTGGCCTATCCTGGCCGCAGACATAGTGAATTCGCCTGGTTGGCTGGCCCTTCTGCTCAACAGCCACCCACAACGAGCTGTTGGCCTTGAAAAGAACGTCGACGTCTAAATATGGCAAGTCGGCGGCCGTGACTGTGTGCAGGCGGCCAGTGAATAGCAGAACTTTTGACTGGCGTTCAGAGTCTGAGATTCGCTTGAAGGACGAGGAGGAGGCGGAGATCCATTTGGCGGAGGCGGAGTCGCCTCCGTCCTCCAGCGTTTGTCGGGTCGGCAGCGGCTGGGTCAGATTCTTGCTGTAGTGGGCCAGGCCAAACTGGGCCACTTGTGTGGGATAATAGTATCCAGATGGATCCCATTGAGTTGAGATTGGAACTCCTGAAAAAAAAATAATATTTAAATTTTACCAAAATAATATTGATTTAAAAATTACACATGTAATTAAAACCTAGGCTCAAAATTCCAGGGTATTTTCTAAAATTTCGTGAAAATTAAGTCTAGTATTGAATAGAAAAACATTTTAATTTGATTTACTGACCATCTAAAAATGGTTTCAATTGAATTTAAATATCATAAAACCCAATAATATTTTACCTTCGTCTGCGGAGACACACTTGACCCGGTCGCGCACCTCCACATTGTAATTGTCAAAAAAGAGGAAGACTCCTTGGGGGTCGTAGTCGGCCTTGGGTTTGTACACTTTGGCCGTGGCGTGCCAGAAGTCAAAGCGCTCGCTCCCGTCGGCCGACTGGCCCAACTCGCCATAAACTTCAAAGTACTTGTGCACGAAAGAGAAAGGCAGCCACACTTGCTCCTCTTGCCGAAGGCAGGCCACGCTGTACTCGCCGTTGATTTGGCATTCTATGTCCTTGTAAGCCACCTGCAAAAGCAAATCGACTTCCATTGGCACTTGTTTCACTCCAGCAGAAAAAAAAATAAATATTGTCAACAATTTATTTTTCATCCAAGGCTCATAAAATTTAAAATTTCCAGAATCTTTTTTAATATTCACAAATGATATTAATTAATATTGATGTGAAAAAACCTATAAAATCTGATCAACTTAAAAGCCTTCATTATCACATATCAAGAATCTCTGCCACTTTGCTTAGAGAATTTTAAAAATAGTTTTAATATCCTCTCTCACTTAGTTCTAATAAAAAACACACAGCAACCATAAAGTCTGGTCTGGAAGCTTCGAATAAAAAAGGCGCTAGCAAAAATCCGAACCACGTCTGCTGGGAAAATTTTTATCAGGCCGGCGTGTCGGGCACGATTTTATCCCGTATGTTTCACATTGTCTCGCTCCCCCTCTGGCGTGTTTGCATTCGCTTTGATCTCTCGCTCATAATAATTTTTTACGCTGGCAGGAATGTCTGGAACTGGAATATCCGCTTACATACAAGAGAAGATACAGGGGCACTCAGCGGTGAAAAAAGACCTAATCCTTAATAGTGCCGAGTCAAAAATTCCAAATAGGCCATATGGGAAGTGTTTTGATGTCAAGGGTTAACTTGTAGGCAGCTTGGAAGCACTTCAAAACTTAGCGAGCTGGATCAAGTGTCTTTGGCGTTCCGGATCGTTTCAAAACATCTGATTTTTAATATAAAATTTTCCTTTCATCAAGGGGAGTAAAATAAAAATATGTGCTAGTTTCACATCTAGTTCGCCAAAGCTTTAGTTTACTTGACCCGAATTCAATATTTATCTATATCTTATTAAAAAATATTTTGAAACAGCTGTGGAATAGAATTCTGTACCAAACTGAAAATTCAATTCAATATTGTAACAAATAAATAAAAATATTAAAATTCTAAATTTAACGGATGTAATGAAAAGAGTTAAATAATGAAAAAAAAACAACTTAATGAAATATAAATCAGGAAAACATACAAAACAATCTCTTATAGCAAAAGAAAAATTAAATAGTAATTGACCAAAGAAATGCATATGACCAGAGTTTAATATTTCGTAATTATAATTACTTGTAATACTTCAAAATATTTGTTAAAGATTTACTTTTTAAATGACACGCATATTTTAACGTAATTTAATATCCAATAAAAATTATTACAAACCAACCAATACAACAAAAATATTATAATAAATAAATAAAAATTGAATTCGAATGCATTTATATTGACCGAGAGGCTCACTGTGGTGGGTGGGGTCTTTTTAGTCTCAAAATTTTGAGCAAAATTCTTGCAGTGGTGCTTTTTGTTCAACAATTATATTTCTGTAGAAAAATTGATGTTTTCCAATACTTGAATTTTAAAATAACTAAAATTAATTAAATCAATGTGGATAAATGAATAAAAATAATAATTCAAAAGCAAAAATAAATCGTGATTTATTATTATCTTTTTTTGCAGGGGAGCTCGGATTTAAATTTAATCGCATTCCTCCTAATTTCACCGCCGCCTGTGTCTATTTTAGCGCGATCTCGCTAATGACATAAGCACATATGAGCAAATTTATACGCGGCGGCACGTACAAAAACAAAATATTATGTACAGAAAAGAGGCAGACGGTCTCTGCGTGCGTGTAACATACATAGCACTGTAGGTGTACATAATAAAGGAGTGCACACCAGATAGCTGCGAGGTCGAAGCACCAAGTTAAGAGTAGGTGAGAGAGAAAAAGATGAATATTCACTTGTAAATTTTGCATGATAATTTTTACCTGCAGAGGCTGCGGGGCCCTGGTGATGGGGGTTGGGCCGCACTGGGACCAGAGACCGGCCAAGAGTAAAACACCCACCACCACCACGGAGAGCAGCTGCTTCAGGGTGGCCCTGGCCATCGGTCACATCCCTGCGGGTGTTGGTCCTCCGTCTGGATCGATGGTTCTCAAATCTGAAACATCGTCCCACAACAATTCGCACTGCACTCCACCTGGCGGCGAGTTTGATCCGCAACCGGTAATTGTTTACGGTTTAACCGAGTAATATTCACTTCAATTTTGAGCTTTGAATCGAAAAAAAAATAAACAAAAACATCAAATTAAATTGCCTTAACGCTTTTTTGGAGTATTTTGACTAATTTTTTACGAAAAAAGAAATGAATGAAAAATATTTTCTTCAATTTAAATTTCACAAAAATTTATAACCGGTTATGCGGTTATTCGCAAATTCTGAAAAGATGCATTCTGATTGGTTGTTCTATAGTTGTGTTTAACAAAAATCTCGTATATTTTGATGTGGCGCTTTTATTATGATTTAATTTTTTGTACATACTTTTTGTTCTGCTCCCATCGGTGACCAGGACTTATACGTGTTTGTGGTTAACCGTGATGAATATAATTGCAACTCAAGATTTCTGACTTCATTCTTCCTTCTACAGCTGCCATAGGCGTTCAGAAATTTGATATTTTTGATGATTTATCAGTAAAAACCAAGAGAAGTCGCGTGGATAAAAATGACGGCAGCCGGCATGCTCTTTGGGGACATGGGTCTCGATGCCCTGAAGCGTCCCATCAACACCCTGGAGGACAAGTGGCAGCTGGTGCCGGCCTACCTGCAGGTCAAAGGTCTCGTGGCTCCGCACATTGACTCGTTCAACTATTTCGTCCGACACGAAATAAAAAAAATCGTGGCCGCCAACGCGACGGTTGTTTCGGACCACGACCCCAACTTTTATCTGAAGTACCTGGACGTCCGAGTGGGCGAACCGCGACTCGAGGAGGCTGGCCTGGATGAGGGCCGACCTGCCACTCCGCACGACTGCCGGCTCCGCGACCTCACCTATGCGGCGCCGATTTTGTGTGATGTCGAGTACACGGCCGGACACGAGAGACACATGAAGAAAAACGTCCCCATTGGACGCTTGCCCATCATGTTGAGGAGCGAGAGATGTGCTCTCAACGGCAAGACAGAGGCCGAACTGGCTAAGATGGGCGAATGTCCGCTTGACCCTGGTGGATACTTTGTTGTTCGAGGGCAGGAAAAGGTGAGGAGAATAATAACGAGATTAAGGGCTGATCTCAACAAGTCCCAGAAATGCTGAATTTAATTTTAGAATTAATTTATTAATAATTTAGCAGCTAAATTGTTAAAAATGATGTCCTGTTAATAAATAAAGAATAGAAATAACATTTCCATTTTTTAACCACAAAATTTTAAATGGTTTGAGAAATCCTGCTTCTCCATGTTCTTTCAACATTTAAATCTAATTTTTACTTCATTTCTAGGTTGTCCTAATGCATGAACAGGCGTCAAAAAACAGAACGATGTTGGAGCGAGGCCGCCACGGCCTGATGTGCTCAGTTGTTGCTGCCACCCATGGCACCAAAGCCCGCACAGCTGTCATTGTAAAAAAAGGGCGCTTCTACGTTGGCTGCAGTCCTTTCTCTGAAGAGTTGCCCTTTGTGATAGTTGTCAAGGCTCTAGGAAATTACGCTGACATCGATGTTGTTCGGCTCGTTGGAACTGAGGCGCACGTCCAAGAAGTACTTGCGGCCTCAATGTGGGAGGCAAAAAGAGCCGGCGTGTACACGGAGCAGCAGGCCATTGCCTACGCTGCTGCTCGATTGAAGTCGAAAAGGTTTGGTGGCCCTAGGAGGTCACCCGAGGAAGAAGCTAAGAGCCACCTAAGAAACACGCTGTTGACCCAAGTGCCGGTATGACAATTTTTATAGACAAATTCTCTGCTTTGATTTAGAATGAATCTTTTGAATAAAAAATTTTCCACTGACCTGATTTTTTTATTTTTATTTTTTTGTAGGTTGAGGGAGACAACTCGTACATGAAAGCTCTCTACCTTGGTCAAATGGTGCGGCGAATCATTTTGGCAGAGACCGACCCTACGTGGATTGACAATCGAGACTACTACGGCAACAAGAGAATAGAACTGGCTGGCTCGCTTTTGGCACTCATGTTTGAAGACCTGTTCAAATACCTCAATCACGACCTCAAAATGATAGCAGACAAGAACCTGCCCAAGATTAAAGCAGCCCAGTTTGACATCACAAGACATATGAGAGAAGACACAATAAGTAATGGTCTCGAAGCTGCTCTGAGCTCAGGAAACTGGAACATTAAAAGATTCAGGATGGCCAGGAAAGGAGTCACGGGGGTTCTCAGTAGACTCTCTTACATCTCTGCACTTGGTTTGTTGATATAAATAGCTTTTTTCAACATTATTGAGAATTTTTATTTAGGCATGATGATGCGGATCAACTCTCAGTTTGAGAAGACGCGCAAAGTGTCTGGGCCAAGAGCTCTACAGCCGTCACAGTGGGGCCTCTTGTGCCCTTCAGACACCCCTGAAGGTGAATCTTGTGGTCTTGTGAAAAATCTTGCTCTGATGGCGCATGTGACCACCGACGCAGAAGAGGAAAATCTCATTAGGGCTTTGTTTAACATGGGTGTAGAGGACCTGCGAACAATGGGTGGGGAGGAAATTTACCAACCAGGATCATTTCTTGTTTTTGTTAATGGTAATTATTGGTTTTTTTTTTAAATTTTAATATTGAACTCAAATTTTCCTTTACATAGGCAACATTGTAGGATTGACTAGAAATCATAAAATGGTGTTAAACACATTCCGTCAACTAAGACGTCGGCGCTTGATTCGCCCCTTTGTGTCTATTGCTGCTTCAGAGTGCCATCAGCAAGTGACAATCAGTGCTGATGCTGGTCGTCTATGCAGACCATATATTGTTGTTGAAAAGGGAGAGCCAACAGTGCAGCTGCAACATTTGGAAGCGCTCAAGGAAGGCAGCATGAACTTTTGGGACTTTGTGAACCAAGGGCTGGTTGAATTCTTGGACGTGAATGAGGAAAACGACAGCCTAATTGCAGTGAAGGACACAGAAATCACTCCTGAAACCACACATTTGGAAATTGAACCATTTACTGTTCTGGGTATTATTTTGTTATTAAATTTTTTATGGATTTGTTGACATATGGATTTCCAGGGGCTGTTGCTGCTGTGATTCCTTATCCTCATCACAACCAATCCCCGAGAAACACCTACCAGTGTGCCATGGGAAAGCAGGCAATGGGCGCCATTGGTTACAATCAGCGTCTCCGTCTGGATACTCTTCAATATAGCATGGTCCATCCTCAGTGTCCGTTGGTGAAGACGAGACCCATGGAATTGGTGCACTACGACAAGCTGCCAGCTGGGCAGAATGCAATTGTTGCTGTCATGAGTTACAGTGGGTTTGATATTGAAGACGCCCTAATTCTTAATAAGTGAGACACACCAGCTTAATTGTATAATTTGACTACAGTCAGTTTGCCCTCAGAGCTTCTGTTGACAGAGGCTATGGCAGGGTAGTTGTTTACAGGGGAAATAAAACACTGCTGAGACACTACGCCAGCCACACAAGTGATTCTGTGCAAGGCCCAAAACTTGAGCCAACAACCAGACGCCCAATCGAAAGTCATTCAGCTCTTGACAGTGACGGAATTGCCCATCCTGGGGACAAGGTCTCTGACCGTGCTGTCCTCGTCAACAAACACAGCCCTCAAGGGGAGCAGCCCACTAGGGTCAAGTGTCCCAAGGGCACTTCTTGGCACATTGAAAGAGCCTTAGTCACCACCAGCAAAGAAGCTTCAACTTTGATCAAAGTAAAATTAATTTTTTTTTTAATATTTCAACTTATTTGGAAATTTTTCCTAGGTTTTGCTGCGCCAAACTAGAATTCCAGAGGTTGGAGACAAGTTCAGCAGCAGACACGGACAGAAAGGTGTGGTTGGTCTCATCGTACCCCAAGAAGATCTGCCCTTCAACGAGCAAGGCATCTGCCCTGATGTGATCATGAACCCGCACGGTTTTCCTTCTCGAATGACAGTAGGGAAGCTTATTGAGCTGCTGGCAGGAAAGGCTGGAGCTTTGGAGGGGAAGTTCCACTATGGCACTGGTAAAATGTCAAAACTATTATAGTATCAGAAGAAATTATTTTAAATCATACAGCTTTTGGAGGGTCAAAAGTGTCAGACATAATGAAGGAGCTTGAAAGCAACGGCTTTAATTACAAAGGCAAAGACATTTTATACTCTGGCCTAACGGGAGAGCCACTGGAGGCGTACATTTACCACGGCCCTGTTTTCTACCAACGTCTGAAGCACATGGTAGTAGACAAGATGCATGCCAGGGCAACTGGTGCCAAAGCTGTCCTCACGAGACAACCACTGGAAGGTCGCTCAAGGGATGGTGGTCTCAGGGTCGGAGAGATGGAAAGAGACTGTCTTATAAGCTATGGCGCAAGGTTAGTGCAACTTCCATAAAAATTATTAAAGAAAATAAATTTACTATTTCTTTCAGTAATCTTTTAATTGAGAGACTGATGCTAGCCAGCGACGTTGCCTTGATGGATGTGTGCGAAAAGTGCGGCTCTTTTGGCTACCAGGGTTGGTGCCAACTTTGCCGCAGCAGTGAGAAAATTGCTACAGTGAGGATGCCTTATGCCACAAAGCTACTTTTTACTGAACTTCTAGCCATGAACATTAATCCAAGGCTAGAAATGAAGCCACAGGTTAGTTAATGTTATCCTCAATAAATGAGTTTTCATTTGAAAATGGAACAATTTATTACCACTGTTATCCGGCAGCTTAAATTATAGCAAATAAATACTAAACATAATGTTAGTTGGGCTCAAAAATTCAATAGCGTCCGTTTGCCAGGACTAGATGTGAATTAAATTACAAACTATTTGCATTTAAAAAATTATCTACTGCTAGCCCTCCTGGCGAATTTCCGCGCTTTGACATGCCTGACGTCCTCTTCAAAAGGCAATCTGGTCTTTTGCTTGTATTCTTCCATTTCCTCTCTCAAGGGAGCATACATTTTCAATGAGCGCCTGATTCTCTCCGACTGGTCGTCATCCACAGCTTTGCCTAAAATTTTAAATTGCACGCTTAAAATTTTTCACTAATTTTATTATAAGTACCGTATAGGGCGTAATTATTGATGGCAGGTTGAGGGTGGTTTGCGAGTGTTTCACTCAAGGTCATTGAGCTCATGAGCTGCTGAGGACCGGGCCAGTAGCGGACGACCACTTTGAAGCCACCCGGGCCTTTGCCTGGCTCGTGCACAATGTAGTCCACCGTGCGAATTTTCCCGTCGGGTTGCAAGAGGGCGTATTGTCCACGAACTACTCCATTCTTGCGCTCTTCCCATCGGTCAGCCACCGCGCCGCTTTTCTCCCAGTCGTCGGTCGCATGCCGATACATGTATTCTCCATTGACCTTCATTTGTTTCATCAAAAATAATAATAATGAACATAACTTAAGACAAATTTAATAAAAAAGAATCAAACAAAAGGCCTCCACCTCCATGCACCTCCTTTGAGATTTTAAATAAAGCAGGAGAAAATAAATTTTTTTATTGTTTCTCTTTTGAAACAATATAAGGAAGCGGGAATTGCAGGAAAGATATTATTTAAAATAGAACATTTTTTTAAAATATCAATTATGAAGTGGTCTTGCGACAAGAGGAAGAGACGCTGCTTCCAAAGTGTTAAAATCTAAACGGAGGAAATGTCACAAGCGCACGAGAGTCTCCGTAAGCACTACTTGAACGACGGTGCCATTAACTTGAGCACGAAAAGCGAGAGGAAGGATCCAGCAGTCGTGTCGAAACCTCTTGCCGCCGCCGCTTATTATAAGGAGTGATCTTTGTACAAGTACCACTTTTATGTGGTGCACTCGTTTTCGTCATATTTGTTGCCGCCGTAACTATTATATTACCTTTTTTGAGCGTGGAATCAGCGACTTGAAATCGACCGTCGCTCCAAATTGAACAAGCTGGAGCAGCAGCACCAAGAAAACAAAGACCTGCAAGAAAATTTTGGACAATTAATTAAAATTTCCATTCTAAAAGGGTGCGTGTTATCTGAAACTAAAGGCCACTGCAAAAAGATCCATGCATGGAGCACAACTTTCGGTTTTGTCTCAAATGTCAAGTGAGCGGTGAAATTATTTGTTTTTTATTCAAATTCTTTGCTTTTAATTAGGGGGAAAGCTTCAGTCGCGTGAATTAAGCGCATATCAGAGAAATGCACAAGGCAGGTTTCACGGTTCGCAGGATTACGGAGAAGCGCTAGGGGATCTGAACAAACAAGTGCACTATTTATTAGTTCTTCCTGGATGAACCAACTTAAATATCCGGCCTAGTCTAACTTCAGACTATCAATTATAAAGTCTTCCACATCAACAAGACCGTAAAGTCCTTTCACTTAATTTCTATTTAGTTAAATTTTTTAATGGAACTTGTGCAAGTTTTCTTGTAAATTCAAAAACGTTTTTATTGAATTTCTTACAAACTGCTGCCAGCAGCTCTCTTTAATTAATTTATTTGCAGTTCTTTTGAACTTGAGAGTGAAATGCCATTTGTTCCGGCAGGGTCTCGGCGTACAAGAGCATTGTGTGTAATTGATGGCAATGGGTGCGCGTTTACAGTGTCATTGCGCGTAAAAGTACAATCAAATCATCATTCGCGCGACTTGTGGCCCGACACGCACGGTACCCGTCAAAGTGACATGATCTGTTAACCCTGAGAGACAATAGCTGTGTGATAAATGGCAATCGACTTTTAACAGCTCATAAAAAAAGAAGAAAGAATGAATCTCTCCTGAACCGCAAAATAAAAGTAACAAACTTTTGTTGAAATAAAAAGCTTATATTTATATAAAAGGACACACAGTATTAGAGCTCGTTTTGGGCGTTGAGATTTCCACCAAACGAGGAATAAAAATTAGTTAATTTGGAGATGCGTAACTAATTTGTGGCGTGACACGGCCTTCAATGCAAATTTTTGTCTGACGGCATGACATAAGAAATTGGCTTGGGAGCTTTGGTTCACAATTTAACCTTATAGAATCCAAGGAATAATAAGTTTGGACTATACTATAAATACCACGCGGTGAAGAACAATAATGTTAGGTTTAAGGCTTATAGCTGTTGCATTGGCATTGTGTTCATCTATAGTCTTTTGTTAAAATAATACACAAATAAATAGCTAAAGAATGTCTGCCCATATTATATTTAATCTTTTCGTAATGTAAAACACAAATCTTTTTCTTCTCGTGAACTAGTATGTATTAAAAAAAACTAAGAATTTGCAACTAAGAATTACAATATTCATTAATTGCATAAAACAAAAAAACAATTAAAATTGTAAAATATAAACTTTTGCATGAAAATATCAAAAGTAAATTTATATAAAAAAAATAAACGGGTTCCAACTATCAACCATTTAAAATTTATATACCAACAACTTTAAAGTTATTGTTAAGTTTATTTTCGATATAATACCCTAAAGTGATTAACTAAGTAAATTACTTAAAAATTAGATTTTTATAACTTTTGTAGTGGAAAAAATAGGATAACATAATTAAATTTTAAATCTCTTACCTGGCTTTTATTGACAAACGCCATCCTTATAAGGCAGAGCTTTTTCACTTGACGAAAAAGGCTGAAGTTCTGACGACCCGCGCCACACAACCTGGCTCTGATGCGCCCACCGCGAAGATTGGCGAAGATGCTCCACAATGAAAAGAGCAGCACCTCTCGCAGATCGAGTAGTTGTTCGTGTTTACCTCCCACTCACAACATGCCTGTTGCATGTGTATACAGAACAGCATCTTTTCTTTGGCACTTCTTACAAGATTTGTTATGCAACCCTCCACTGGGTAAATGCGTGACCTTCTGTGCGAGCCCAACCACCAGCCAAACCAGAGCGGCTTTTCGAGATCTCGACCGGCGGTGAAGCAAAAAATCAACAGATGAAGATGATGAGCTTGCTGACCGTCAAATTGCTTATTTTCTTTAAGTGCTCGCGTCAGATTGGAATAAATTTTCAATTAGCTTTTTGCCTAATTGGAAAGAGACTGGATTGGCAGGTTTTTTCAATCTGGTTTTCTTTTGCTCGAAAAGTCCAATTATCAATTTAATTTATGACACAATTATTTAAAAGTTACTTTCATTGTTATAAGTAATCAGCAATAAGAAAATTCAAGGTATAATTATTTATTTACTATAAAATATAATTTTAATTAAGAATTCTTAAATATTTGTTGATTTAAAAATATAGAGCAAAATTGCAATTCTAAATATTCGTGATTGACGATCTAATAACGTGTGTCAATTTGCACCTTCATTTCAACTAAGCAGTTTGCTCAATCTGCTCATTGTTCGCGAGCGCACTTCATCCATAAGAATGTGAAATGTCAGAGTGCACATTCTTCTCAGCAGGGTGATGGCTTTGCCTTGAAATTCGTGAGCCATATAAGAGGAAATCATTGAGGCGATAAAATGAATGAAAACTACTAATAGTTCCAAAACAATCATCTGACCCATAAAACCTCTGTTGCTGCCATGAAATCGCTCAAAATGAAGAAAAACTAAAACAACCTTGGCAGATAATTAAAACAAATCAGAAAGTGAAAAAATCGAAAAAATAACAGGATCCAAGACAAATAAGTTGAAGATTACATACATAATATAGTGTATAGTAAATGAAATAAAAAAGAATGACGTGACGTCAGGGACGTTTTGTACTGAACTTATAAATAAATGCCGCACAACGTGCACCAGGACCTCGAAAGTCTCAAAAGCGTTCCGTCAAAGCCGTGGCTAATTCAAGATCACAGGAAGTAGTTGATACTAATTATAAAAGTAAACAATCTTTTATCAATGGAAAATTTAATTTTTAACAAGTTCGTCCCAAATTTACAGATTTGCTGTGCTTCGGCGAGCGTAAATTGCATCCAGTTTGAGATCAATAAACTCCACGACCGTGTAATAGTAACTGCTGCAAAATTGCATAACATTATACCGCTCGCTACCGATGCAACTGCCTAGGCTGGTGCACTGATTGTCTGCGTTGTGGTCACGACTTTCTTCAACCCATTGTTACATATTTATCTGGCGGCAAAAGAAAAAGAGGAGATGAGTGGGATGGATGGCTGCTCTTAATATTATAAACACGGCTCCTCTGATGTTATAATAACAGCTCAATCCCGATTGAAATTGTGTTTTTTACCGAAAAAACTTTTACTTTTAAGGCAAAAAATCGATATTGGGGCTAATTGAAATGGCATGACATGAAAATCATTCATATAGATTGAACGAGCTGTTATTATTTTATACCCCCCAAATCAAGCAAGACTAAATCGTGCTTGCGGTGCTGCTGATTTGATTGCAGTGAGTTTCAGTGTTTGAAATAAAGCAGTCATGGTTTGTTTGTAAATTAAAGACAGTCCGTGTTCTCTGATATGAGTATGCATTTTTGTTCAATGTTTAATATACAAGCGCTGTAATAATGTAATGATTCAATCTCGCGCATCTCTCAAGGATTTGTGTTCTCAATGATGCGTGGACGTGATGGGTTAATGGAAATGAGTGCAACGTTGCGAAATAAGTGCTGGATGAGTGAAAAATTATATTGTTGGGCGCCGGTGCTCAAAAGTTTGCATTCTTCGGCTAAAGGTGATGATGACGATGATCAAGATCACAGTTGAGGGTTCTTCATAGACACCTGCAAGCAGAAACGTCATGTGATTTCTGAAGTCGCAAGAAAATTGTGCGATTTATTTTGTAATACTGAATCACGAAAAATTTCTGGTCAGTTCGATTCTCACGCGGCAAGCCTCTCACTTGATAAAGAACCAAATGAGAGGAAGTATGCAACTTTCAAAAAGCAGTGTATTACCGGTTGATAAGTTAACTGACAGCCCAATGTACATGCATATAGTCGGGATCTGACTGTGCGGCACGTATAATAAAACTTGATTGCAAAAACGGGCGTCCACGTGATGCAATTCGCAGCTACGCCTTTGCGCCGGGCCGGCGGGTAATGATCACGAGACGAGTATTAAGGTGTGCGTGCGAACTCAAATGTGCGCTACCAAATGACACTTGAGCTCTTCATTGAGATATAATACACAATATGATATTATAATGGCATCCAGTTAGATCACGCGGAAGTTAAACGAGTTTTAACGTCACAATATAATGTTTTTAATTTACAACAAAAATAATATTATTATTTAACATTAGTTCCTGATTCCTTTTCACTTTTCATATACTCTCAGTTACACCTCAACATATATACGTTAGTGAGGTCAAATGTAGATGAGTACAAACCTGTGAGGAATCTAAAATCCGTTGTCAGACAGTTCTTGTTAGAATCCAACGAACTGCAGAAAGGTTTTTGGAATTAAAATTTACAAGCATAAATCTAGTTAGAACAAATTGGAAATACATTAAAAAAAAGATAATTAAATTTCGTCAGCTGAGAAGTATTTAAAGCAAGTTATTTACAACTTAATTTAATATGATAGGTAACTAAATAGACTAGGAGTTTTCTCGTTTTGCGAAATTCATTTTGCACGCAAACTGTTGTTTGCAGTTTTATGATCCAGCCGCGAAAATTAACTGACTGACCCAATTTATGTTAATTATGCAACGTTCAACTGGTGCCCAGCATGTGTCTGACGTCAACACGAGTTTTTCAGCAAGTATGCAAAACACGCACGAGTTTGGTGTAAATTAAATTAATGCAAATCGAAAGACTTACGTGGTAGGTGCTTGAGTAAGACACCCCGGTGATGGGCGCGTTGCTCGGTGAGTGGACCACGGTATGTGGCTGCTGAGCAGGAGAGGTCGGCAGGGCAGGGGGTGAGGGATAGGTGGGGTAAGAGGGAAATTCAGGAATGGCGGGAATTTCAGGGCGAGAGGGAATGGCGGGAATTGCAGGAGGAGCGGGAGGGGTGGGCACCGCTGGGAACAGGGCTTGTTGGGGTTGGGCGAGCAGGGGTTGCTGCTGGAGATAGTCGACGGACTGCGCAGGTTGTTGCTGGAAAATGGCCTGAGTCTGTCCTGGGACGACCACAGGGGCGCCGGGAGCAGAGGGAGGAGGACTGAGTTGCTGGGGCCGGATAACGGTGTTGGGTCGGCGCCTGGCGCCAGGATTAGTTGTGATCAGACTGACGCTCTCCCTGATTACGTCAAGTGCTTCCTGCTGCACACGCTGGAGAACCTAAAACATTGAATATAGGGAAAATTTCAAAACTTTTACACAATGGAGATAAGAAAAATTTAGATTTTTTTTCTCATTAAATGAAAATAAAGTTTTTTTTATTTTCATAACAGAGTGGCCTAAATTAAATTACAAGTGCGGTCTTCGTATACATTCAGAATGTATAATAAAGTTTATAAAAAATTATTAAATTTGCATCCGAGAGTCACTGAAGCGCATAACATTATCGTCTCTAAAGTTATTATTGAAAAATTTACCGAAAATTATGCTCCAATTTTCTCTTTCAATTTTTTCAACCTTTTACTTTATCCTCCATAAATTATTCTTATAATTCATCTTCACTTAAAATTAAAAATAAAACCCACATGCTTTGAAATCATTAAATAGAGAGGAATTAATTAAATAGAGACCAACCTGAGCCTGATAGCTGTCCTGTTGGGCTCTGCGTGACTGCTCTTGCTGCAGTCTGTTTGTAGCCACGATCTGATCAATCTCAGAAATACCAGGGATCAGAGTGCCGTCGGGGGCAGTGAAATAGGGCACCGCGTTATTTTGAGGCTCAGGAGCGGCTCTAGAGAAGGCACTGGGAAGACCGGGCGGGACGAAAACTCTGGCCCTGAAGGTTCCAGGGCGAGGGGTGGTCGTCGGATCGGGGTAGCGGAAGCGCTGGGAGTTGATCACGTTCTCCAACTGCACCCCAAGTTGGTTCGGCAGACGGGGAGTGATCGGGTTTTCAGGCTCGGGGTGTTCGGTGACGGGGGCAGGAGCGGACTCGGGAGAAGCGTAGGCGTTGAATAACCGCAGCTTGGGCTCCAAGGGCGAGAAAAACAGCGGACGCTCGAAACTGGCGCCGCTGGCGTCGCCGACCCGTACGGCTGCACCGTGGTGACCAAGATTTGCCAGGATGGCCGCGAGCTGCGGATAATTGTGGAAAATAAAAGCAGCCTCATTACTCACATTACTCACACGCCCAGCGGTGAAAAGCAAGAAGTGCATTGCGCTGCTGCACTAAATTATTATTTGTCAAGCGAGAGAGCCGTTCACTTGGTTTTTTTTCTTTATCTCTCAGGTCTGCTTTTTATGTGAGCATTTACCTAATAACCAGAACTGCCTGGGGCGAATTTGGGGTTTTACTACAAATGCGTTTTCCTGCAAACGCTGCACGCGTATGTGCAAGTACAGTGCAAAGAGTGAATGCACTTACTTAACTATATTGTGTACTTTCATGTAACTTGATGAGTTTTAGAAACACACGGAAAGACGCTGGTTTATTATATTTGCTTGAGGAGAAATCACACGTGTGTGCGTCTGCATGAAATCGGCGCTAATTTATCACAGTCCGGTGACTTCGACAGAGGTAAATTGTGTGCGCCGAAAAGTGCAAAGCCGTGTGTGGGTTGAATAATTTTTGCGTGGGAGCCGTTGAAATAAAGAAAGTATATTGAACAAAATTATGTATTGCGTAGAGCTTATGAAAATCAACCAGATGTACATTATATTTATTGCTCTCAATATTTCAAGGCGGAAAACATAAATCATTTTTTTACTTTTACTTATTCGAGAAGCAATTCAAATCACTATTTAATATTAATGGTTATCAGTTTTCACACGCAAGATTTTATGTCACCAATGTTACTACAAAAGAATAGCCTCATTTGTTTATGCCTGGTTCTGGATGTTAATAATTTTATGCATTTAATTATGCTATTTTTTAGAATTAAAAAGGCAAAATTACATTGCGGTACGATAATGATTGAATAAATTAAATATTTGAATTCTTTTCAATGACCAGCATAAATACCTAAGATATAAGATTCTTTAAGCGATGCATCAGCTCCTATAAATAAAATTAATAGGTCTCTCTGTTTCCCTCTGTATCATTTTCATTCAGCGGCCAGAGGTCAGTGAATTATTGGTAATTAGTGTGGGAGCATGAATGCGTGATTTAGTTTATTCTCGGTGTGCACCGCCAAGTTTCTCGCTTCACTGACCACCGACCTTGCTGGCTGCAAAAAAGAGACCAGCTTCTTTCTTGTAAAAGGCTCTACAATATGCGCGTAATGTATAATGTACTGGTTGAACAATAACAAAAATGGCCTTGACTTAACGTATGGCAACTCATATTTGAATTAGGAGCACCAGGGCAGCCGCAGGTACTTTTCGGCCTCGTCAGATTTATGCCCTGCGAGCAAGAGAGGTGCAAAAGAACGTTAAGTTTCAAAAAATAAATCGCTTTCGATTACTTGAAGGCCTTTGTTAAACGAGTGATGTTCTGCTGCAGATTTGATCAGCGGCGGCCTTGCAACTTTTAAGTCATTTCACGCTGCCAATTGTTCTTTGCGGCGCCTAATTTAGCTCTAGCAATCAAGACGAAAAGAACAAACTATTGTGATACACCAATATAGAAGTGAATGTAATTCATAAAAAAAGCTTTTAGTTCGATTTCCATAAAAAATAAATTAACCGCTTACCATAGATTTTGAGATGAATTCGTTAACATCTTATAAAAATTCTATATTGTGGCAAATGTTGATAAATTTTATGGTAATTGTGTATAAATTACTATTAAATTACGTATTCCTGTTGCTTTTCTTTACTAAAAAAAAACATTTTATAGAGAAATAAAATCACAAAAAGAAAACAATAGTTTCAGCTGGCTAATTTAATCATTAGATCGTGGACTCCTATAAGAGATAAAAATTTTAATTAAAAAAAATAACTTCCGTGGTTCAAAAACTTCTTAAAATTCAATACATATTCATATAACTAAAAGTTACACTCACAAGGACAAAAAGTTGACCCATCGCTGTCATGGTGTCGGAGAGTTGAGCGCGGTCGTTGGTGTCTTATTAGTCCGGTCGGCGCAACACCATGCAGTCGAATGCTCTTCCGAAGGAAATTGAGCTGCTCGCCGGTGGAGCAGCAAGAAGTTGCAGGTAATGGAGAGGCGACGGCCACTCGAACGCCTACCGACAAACCTGCCGCGGCCACCACGAGGCGGTGCAAAACGTGGCCCCCGGTGACATAAACTCGCACACTCCACTCGCTTTCAACCTTAATAAAAAAATACACTGTTGTGCACATGACCTACGTGAAACAAGTTTTTATCCAGTCTGCTGAGCAAGGAAATAAAAAAGATATATACGCGAACAAATTAATTTAAATAATTAACCCGAATTTTTTTCTAATTAAATTAAAATTGTTAACTTTGAATTGTGAAAAATTTTAATTGATATTTAATAGTGGAGCAATAAATAATTGAATTTTTCAACGGAGATCCTCCAGTTGCATGATAAATCAACGGCCTGATGCAGCCAGTGAGAATCACGACCCATTGCTCAAGTTAATTTCGCTGCAAATTCATACCTTGGTGCTCACAATCAGAGTTTAATGCTGGTCAGGCAATAGCCGCTCTTGCCTAATCAAGTGCCAGCGAGAGTGATTTCAGATTTACGGTGTGCAACAGGTACCAAGGCATTTGAATTAAATTTTCGTTCCGGTCCACGATATTTTGCATTATTGCCATAAGAGCTCATTTATCACAATCGTTCTGAGCGCGGTGAGCGAGAAATTCACCACGAGGATCGTTTTTTGCTGCAATGGAGCGTGTCTTTTGCTCATTTGCAGAGATGAGCTCTAATTGTTTGCAGAAAAGAACAGACAGACACTGAAATAATTATTGCATTAAGTAAAAGGGAACATCACCTTAATCTTAATTTTATGTTTGTTTCTACAATAATAAAAGTCTATAAGTCCGAAAAAATTTTGAGCAATGGAATTTAAAATAAGCCATTTAATTAAATAGCGTCAAAAATACAGATTTTCAACGGCAATTTTTAGTACTTGTCTTTCATCAAACAACTTGATGAAATCTTAATGTCATGTGGAATTTTCATTAAATTTAGTAAAAAATTTAATATTAATTTTTATATTTCTGCATTATTTCGTGTTCTTCCTTCCTCAACGTTAAGATTTAATCAAACTGTTTTTGAATTATTTAAATGTCTTTGAATTCAATTGCTTCAAAAGACCAGTCCCTTCCTTTTATTTGAAGCCTCTCTGCCGTTAAATTGTTGTTTTGTCTTCCTCTATAAATATAAGACTTTTACTGCTTAGGAAATTTAAATTAAATAACATACATTTTCTCTCACCGGACAACAATTGTCTTGGGTAGCGGACGATGAACTGCACAAAATAGATGCGATTGCAAAATATCTTTGCTGGAAATGGTCGTTTGCGAAATGCATGCAGCACTTTGGCGTTGAGACAAATTATACCGGTTGATCATTGGTTTTTCTCGCACACTCAAGTAAGCCGCCCTTTTTAGGCCAGATAGTCGTCGGGTCAACTTTTTAACTCGCTCGTGAACTAACCCAGCAGACTCGCATAAAAAACTTTGATTATTTCAATGCAGCGCCAGTTTTTGTCGCAACTCTCTCATTATTTCACTTATTGTGATTCATATTATGCCGCGTAACACAACTAATGGTGTACGAGTTTTTTTCATGAGGCCACTCGACTCAATCTGAAAGTTCAAATTCAAACGAGTTCGTTCCGAGTGAGAATCGATGCTGTGGCATATTAATCTCAAGAGGCGACGATGAAAGTTCTCGCCGCCGTGCTAATGAGCAGAGCCGCCTCCCATATAATTATGAACGACTTTGACAGGAGAATTATGCGACACGCATTTTTGAGACGCTCTTGCAGGCAAACAACTTCCTCCCATGGTATAGGAAGAGAGAAGCTTTTAATTTCACGCGCTTTTGATTCAAGCAGGGAGCGCGTTTGAAATGTTATGCAAATTGATTCTTGTGACACTGAGAGTGAGTTTTATGGGTTTATGCAAGTGGGCAGCTCCATAAAACACATTAAAAGATTTCCCTTTATTCTTTAAAAATAATAATAATAAAACAAACAAAATTGCTTGGAGAATGAAATAACTGTAGGAGAAATTTTGTGATGAAACCACCTCATTGATGCCTGATAAGTGCAGCAAATAAGTTTTTCTCATTTGATGTATGTAGGATTAGCAATAAAAATCACATTATTTTTATGTGCTGCTCCAGGCTAAATGCAAGCAGTAATGAATTATATTTTGTGCCAACATCACAGTGTAAATCAGCACGCCTCGCGTTCATTCTGAGAAGTCTTGGAAAATGTTTTTCCTAGACGGTAAGTCCATTTTCTGTGGGAGTGCAAGTTGGTTACCACAAATATAATGCAATAATAATCTACTTTAAATTCAGTTTTTCACTACCGTGAATTCTCGTGCAATTTCAGTTATATTTTGACGTTAAATTATTTCATGTCAGATGTTGCGTTTACTGTCTCTGATTATAGAATAGATAATAATTAAATAAATGAAAAAATATTTAAAATTGCAAAATTTTGAAGACAAATCTTTTTTTGAGACCAGCTGGTGACTTGCTCTTTGGTTCATGCGAAGGTCACACACTTAATATGTGTTTTTTCATGGCCATTCTCCCACTTGACCAATAGAGATATAATTGTTAAATAATTACCTCTCATTTGCTAAAATCCTCCAATTTCATGACACAAAATGTAAGAAATGAAGCAAAAAATACGTAAAAGCAATGTTTAGAAATTTTATTTGAAGCGATAAAAAAATAAAAGACATTGTAAGTTTTAAGTTTACGTAGGAGAATCTTTTCAAAGTTTAAATTTTAAATCAATATAAGAAAGCTGAATTTTTAATAATTAGTTAATTACCATGCTGCCGTGTTATAGTGAATCGAGAATTGATTTTTAGGTTATAATATATTTTATAGAATTAAGAATATTTTCTATTACTATTTTGCAATGTAATTTTTAATCAAACGAGTTTAATCTGTACCAAGGTAGATCTAATTATAGAGCTACCAAAAAGTGATTCATCACGCACCTTTTAAAAAGTTTCAGTGACCTTCACATTGTTATCCAAAAGCTTCATAAAGTGCGTGATGAACTGATTCAACTGATGAGATGATCAATGTTATCTGCGCGCAATGCTTAAATGTAGGTCGCCATCAGCAAACAAATAAATAAATTCGGCACTGCAGCATCCCGTGCATGTTAAGCCGATTTGAAAGTTCATTGCATAAGATTAATTATACTCATTTGGCCATATAATTATATTAATTTTTAATACTGACAGATGAATCCAATTTACTTGACGCCAAGACCACTGAAGGCTTAATTATCACAACTTCATAATAATAATGTTTTATTTTATTTCAATCAAATTAATTTAGTTAAAATCTTCAAAACCATGTTAAATTACTAATAGAGACAGATTTTATTACCATGCTGAAGTAAAGCATGCTTAACCTTTGCTTCTCAGCACCACATTCATTTTAAATAGGTACTGAATTTTATGTAAATGTGATATATCAATAAATATTATTTGCAACTAAAAGTTTTCTTTTACTCTCCTGTGGTATTATTTTGTAAACTATTAATCTTTTTATAATTTTCATACAATCTTGTTCTTGTGAAGATTTAGAGTACAATTGTTTTTTAAATAATTTTTGTGCCTACAGTGATAGATAATATGTCTTTTGCCAAAAACTCAAAATATAATAGAATTTTAATATCTTGCAACAAACTCTATATATTATGGAGTTAAAAAATTGATTTTTTTTTTACAAATGAAACTAAACTAAATGGAAATTTCGAAATCTTCAGCAGCAAAACATTTTTGTCAATTAATAGCCAGTAAATAACGACAAATTATAATATTTTGCAATTAACTTTTAATAAAGCAATGAGTCAAGTCTTTTAAAAGGTGAAAAATAATCTTTCTATTGAAGTTATATGAGGTGAGACAGACTGAAAGTCGACTTTTCGCGCCCTCTACACGCAAAACAGGGCACTGTGATGACGTCACGTGATGATTCATGATTGATAAAGCAGGTTGTAAACAACGTCACTTGTCAAACTTGGAATTTGCACAGAAATTACTCTCTTTCGTCTGATCCAATCGACTTGGGTCGTTCGGACGAAATGTTTGCGAGTGGGCCTAATTATGTGAAGCTGAAGACGCACCTTCGGCTGGCCATCAACCGGCTCAAGCTGCTGGAAAAGAAGAAAACCGAGTTGGCGCAGAAGGCGCGCAAGGAAATCGCCGACTACATCGCGGCTGGAAAAGCCGAGAGGGCCAAAATCAGGGTCGAGCAGATCATCAGGGAGGACTACCTGGTCGAGGCGATGGAAATCGTCGAAATGTACTGCGACCTGCTGATTGCCAGATTCGGACTCATCCAGCAAATGAAGTCGGCAGCAAACCTGCTTTTTCCCCATTGATCGTTTTGCTTAATTTTTGCTTAAATTTTTAGAAATTTGGACGAAGGACTTGCTGAGGCCGTTTCTAGTCTCATATGGGTTGCACCACGTCTGCAGTCGGACGTTGCCGAGCTTAAAATCATCTCCGACCAACTCACGGCTAAATATGGGAAGCAGTACAATCAGGTTAATAAAAGTAAAAATTATCACAAAAAAGTTTTAAACCAAATATTTTTTTCTAGGCCTGTCGTGAAGAGGCTGTGGGAACGATTTCTGAAAAACTGAAGCACAAACTGAGCGTCCAGGCGCCTCCGAAGTTGCTCGTGGAAAAGTACATAATTGAAATCGCCAAAATTTACAACGTTCCCTACGAACCTGACCCACAAGTGATGATGAACGAGGATACCGCCGGCTTGGACGCGCTCCTCATTGACCTGAACAATGAGAAAAACAACCTCGGTGGCGGAGGCAGGGGTGGAGGCGGCGGCATGCCCGAGCCTCCAGGTTTCGTTGGATTTCCTCAACCGCCTGCTCTGCCTTCAGATTTGCAGCCTTTCAATTATCCGGTAAGGGAAAATTTAATCTATCTTCATTTATTTTATTTTGATGCATTGATAAAAGAATTATTTAAAATAACAGACTGGAATTTTTTATTTCAGTCACCAGGTGGACAGGCGTCCGCAGCAGGTCCTGCTGGTTTTGTTGCTCCTCCTGCTCTGCCAAATATTGGGCCGAATGCATCAAACTTCTCGTCAGTTGAGCCACATTTCAGCGCCAAAAGCAGCAATCTTTCGTACAACATTCCTCCGGACAACTCGAACGCCTCGGCCAGTGTACCCACTCCGAAAGCATCACCTAAGAAGGCCATGAACACCGACCCCCAGAACGACCCACCTCCACCTTACGGAAGCTTTCCCCCAGACGTGAACACAAACAAGGTAAAACCATTTTTCGATTGATGAGAACTGAAAATTGACGTGTATTTTACATTTTGCAGGGAGCAATACCAAAGCCGGCCCCTAGAGCAAAGATGCCGGACAATTTCGAGTTGCCTGAATTGCCTTCAGTACCAGCAGATGACTTTCCTGCACCTGGCTCTCAAAGCATAGACAATGATGAGATAGATTTTGATGATCTAACAAGGAGGTTCGAAGATTTGAAGAAGAAAACATAAACCTCCTTAGTCTTTATTTTTATTATTTCACAGTTAGAATTTGCAAAGATATATTTCTTAAATGCTTCTCTTCTTTATCAATGGCAGTAGTATTTGAATACATTTAAAATTCGCAAAAATAAATAATAAATTGAAATATCTGATTTCTTTTTTTAGCTTTAAATGTTGTATTTTAATAATTTTGCTTCTGCTCATTCTAGTAATTTAGATAAAACCATCAATGCCAGCAGCAAAAAATAATTTTTCTTAAATTGCTTGTTTCCTCAGTGCCTTTTCTCAATAATAAAATTCATTGAAATAAATCATAGGCTACAGGCAAAAACTTTCTTAATTTCAGAACACCTTAATTATCATTTCAAAAAGTTCAATAAAGGCAAGCTTGAAAAGTTGCACTTTTCAATGGTGTTAGGCTTTTAGTATTTTAACTGAAAAATATGAATAATTCCCAACGTATTCCATCCAAAAATTCCTTTAAAATAGTGTGAAACGGATATTCATCAATAACAAAAGTCGCAAGACGTTCTCACGCTTGTCTGAAACGCACCATTTCGCAACCCACTCTTGGGTGCACAAATTCTTGGCAAAAGTAAGAGTGCACCCATGTCGGCCGCCAGGTACCAGGAAACGCGCATTTTACAAGTTTCACGCACATTGGGATGGAATAATTTTTTTTGCCCGGTGAGTTTGATTTTGTTGCGCTCATTCATATTTTGGCAATATTGCAGCCAAATAAGTATGCATATTAATTATTATTTATGCATTGCAAATAAAACATGAATAAACTGCTATATACCGATATAATACCATTGAAAGTCTCACGCTGAACAATGAACAATAAAGTTTGATCGCTCCTGTCCATAACTTTTGGTTTTTTTTATCCATAAATTATATTTTAACAAAGTACGAATCATATGGAATTTTTATTTAAATTTTCAGTTTCTTCAATTTTCTTTGGTTGAAATAAAAAATAATATAATTAATGTAAGTGGCTAAACTCTTGAGCTTCCTCGTGTGACCCAACTGGAACAATACACCCAATTATGCGGTGAATCTGTTGCAAAAAATTCACATGACATAATCTCCTATGGGGTTTCTTGGTGTTTGATGAGCCGACTCTGATATGCACAATTTTCTTCTACTCATCGCAAAATGAGAAAGCTTATTAGGAGCCACAGGTGGCATGTTATCGCGCCTGTGTTGGAAGACTTCATTAGGGCAGGCAATCACATTGATGTATTCATATATTGCACGGTAAAATATACACATAATTTAAATTTTAATAATAAAAAAAATTTTAAGTAACCTGAAATAGAAATTTCATACAATTTATTAATTTGAACATAATATACAGATAAGAATGAAAAAATAATAATTCCCGCAGTATTTTTTTTACAAAATTTTATTACAGCAATTAAGATATGATTTTGGATATATTGTTCAGTGTCATGAATAAATCCAGAAAAATTCAATATTCCAATAATTATTACTAGCTATTATAGTGATAATTTATTATAATTGATTGCTAAATTGTTTGGAATTAATTGGATCAATATTTGCTACCAATTTGAACAAAGAACACTGCATTGTGCAATTGAACAGCAGCAGCAGCACAATTCCGGACAGGCATCATGCGGACTCTACAGCAACACGAACTGCCTGTCCACAAAGCAGAGAGCAACAAATAACAAACACGTTATGCAACACGTAATGCACTCGGTGCGCTCGTAGAAAGCACGCGTTCTTTTGAGAGCTTTTAAATTTAACAATGGATTCAAGAAGCAAAAAATGCGCTTTGGAAGGTGTGGACAGCGCAAAAAGCATTTAATAGACAGGCCCCATTTCGATAACACGATTTTGATGTAAAAAGCCTTAGTGAAGGAAATCGCATATATCTTTGATTTCAAGCAACCTGCTCTTAAATGATTGTACGTGCATGACTCTCTCAACTATACCGGTGAGAATTATTGGACCAAATAAATAGCTGCTTTTTAATCTCGAAGCTGGTATGTTTAAAATTTTAAAGTTAATTAAGTCTACAGATTTTTACCATAAAAAAGATTTTCATTTATCATAAAATCAATTGGAGTTAAAGCAGCAAATATTTTATAAATTAAATATAGAATTTGCAAGTTAAAAATAAAAAGCCAAAAATTTGTTATTCCTAGAGCTCAATTAATAATGGTTCGCTATGAAATAGCTTTACTAATACCCTCTATTGTTGACCCCTTATCTGATTATATAGTTATAAAATAACTCAAATTAGAGCAAATAACCACCATTCAAACGGGAAACAAAAGAATTTGAGCGGCAAGCCGGGCAAGCGGCATAGGTTTCAAAGAATAAACCGGAATAAACTATATTTAAAAGTTCTGAAAGTTTAAGAGGAAGAAAAATCTTTTTGTGTTGTTTCCTATTAGTAATTTAATAAACTAATGGTCCATAACCGACCGCAGGGTCAAATCTGGTCACTTCTTTGCGTGTAGCCTAATTGCAACCGCAAAAGGTAATTTTCAATATTGTTCATTTTTCAAGAATGTTATAAAATATTTAGACCAACCTTAATTCAAAACAGTGTCCTCATATGTATTTTTTTTTGACAGGCATAAAATAAGCATGAAAATTTTACCCAATTATACGGTGCAGCCAAAATTATACTCAATTTTGTTGTTGTCAAATTCAAGTTTAGTGCTTGTAATCAATCATTTGTCCAAACGGTCGCGAAATAAGGTCCACGCTCTGTCAGTCCTTGAATGAGATTAACAAGATTCATTCAGTTTTATCACAAAATTAATGCTGTCACTCATTGTCAGCGACAACTCATTCTTTTGTGCCGAGCTGCACTTTAAGAGCAGCAAATCGAGTTTCACTCTCTGCGGTCCGCGGTGCATTAAAATCCCAAGGTCGTGATTCTGCGCTCGACTTTTTTTCGGCCATCGTTTGGTAAGAACGCATTCTCGGCGATAATAATTATTGCAGACGAAGGCGGCCAAGTGGTTCATTTTACTTTTTGCCGCCTCGTGTGTAGCGGTGCACAAAGAGAGTTATGCAAAAGGCGCGTGCGGGAGAAAAATTTTCATTTTTACAAGTCGCGCGCCGCGACCAACAACTTTTGCAACACACATTCATATATGTGCTTCTCTTTATTCTCATTATCGAGAGTGGAAGTATAGTGCATTTTTAATTTACATGCAGATCGAACAAGTGTAACGCTCCACTAACTGCATTCATTTATGGACATACTTTTTTGACATGCTTGCTGTGGGCAATTACAGAGCTCTGTTTGCCACTGCGGATGTATGCAATTTTAATTATAATAAGCTTGAATGACCACTTCAGCTATGTCTACATACCAGACCTTTAAATTTCCAGTTGAGAGAATAAATGACATAAACACGACTCTAGATTTTAAAACGTTGTTTTTCAGTTTATTAAACACAGATAGAGAACAAAAGATAATTTATTTAACTTGTTAGCTTTTTTTTAATTAGGGATATTATAAAATTGCGATATATAGCCCTGACAAATTTATCTCGGCCAAATTTTGGGTAGACCGCACACTGGAATAATTTTAAGCTCAAATTACTCATTTGAAACCTACCCAACATATAAAAAATAATTTAATTTTATAATCCTTAAAAATTAATATACAAAACTTGGTTCATTTTCAGATATTGTGGTTAAAGGAAAAACCGAATCTTAAAAAAAGACCCTGACCAAACAGAAGCTTGCCCTTTAATAGTGAAAATCTGAGATAAGTTCCATGTATTTTGTTTACTTTATTATAGTTCATAGCTTTGGAGTTATCAGACGTAAATTTATAGCAATTAAATTTAAAGTTAAAAAAGTTATTAGTTAGTTCTTTTCTTCAAGACAAAATCGAGAAGTGAATTTTTTTAAATTTATTCTTAGCTATTGAGAGATTTTAATTCTCTTGTTGATCTTTAAAACAAATATTTAGTAAAAATGTTAACTTTGAGTTATAAAAATGTAATCATCACATTTATGAATGGTACATTCGTGCTTTTGTAAAAATTTATAAAAGCTCAATTGAGACTATAGTCAACCACAAAGCGGAAGTGAGGTGATCAATAGCAACATTTAATGATCGACATAATCAACCTAAACGAAACAATCTGGCCTGCAAAGCGGCCCATTGTGTGCAGACAGAGCGCTCACGAAGCAGAAAAAATGATAAAGAAGTTACGTCTGCGTCAGGCAGCACAGCAGCGTCGCAGAAAAAAGGTCTCGTTCGGATTTCACCTGCTTCTTTTTCCCAACATTTTGGGAAACAATATAATATGTCCGTTTCCGCCGACCGAGCAGAATAATGACCGAGTGGAGGGGCTTTTAATTGATCGGCGAGTGCGTCGATTTTTCTGTATCAAATCACTTGGCCACGCTTGACATAGCGTGGAGTGTTGGCTAAAAGCAGCGCGCGCCGCCCACACCCACTTCTTTTGCGAAGTATTGCCAATAATAAATGTGTGCGAGTATATCGCTTCGGCAAAAGTATAAAAGACAAAGTCCGCAGGGCAAATCATGCACTTCCCCAGTTGCAAGCAAACAAGAAGAATCATGTTCTCCGCTCAGGTTGGTGCACCCTTTGGATTATTACAGCTCAGCTAGTGTCCGTGATTTTATCTGATTTTGAAGAAACCAGCGAATTTCAAATTTAGCATCACAAGTTACGATAATTTGTGATAAATTTCTAAAGTAAAATTTGTTTTCATTCCAAATTTTATTCATTTTTACTTTTTTAATACATTTAGGTTGCATTAAGTTATTTTAAACTTTATTTATATTAACTTATATTTTTATATTTGAGACTAATTCATACTTAAAATATTTAATTTAAACTTTTTCCAGATCATTGCCGCTTTGTGCGCCTTCGTTGCCGCCGCCTCCGTCGCTGAGGCTGGATATCTTGGCCATGCCGTGGATTATCACGTAAGTAATTTCAACTAAAACAAATTCACTGCTTGTGCTAATTCTAATTGTAAGAAGTGAAATTTTTAAGCAGTCGCAGTCAATAATACATTAAGTTTTTGTTTTATAAACTTCAATTTTCAGACTGTGAATGCATTAAATTTTAAAAATGTGTTTTAAATTATAAAATAGCAAAAAGCTCAAACATTGAAAATAATTAGTTAACATTAGGTTTTGATTCCTCACAATTAAAAAATATATTTTCTTTGAACAAAACCAGCATGTCCCCAACTACTCTTTCGAGTACGGAGTTGCTGACCCCCACACCGGCGACAAGAAGAGCCAATCTGAAACCCGTCACGGCGATGTTGTCAAGGGACACTACAGCCTGGTGGAGCCCGATGGCACCACCCGCACCGTCCACTACACCGCTGACCCTCACAACGGATTCAACGCCCAGGTGACTAAGTCCGGACACGCCGTCCACGCCGCCCCCGTCCACCATGGAGCTTACCACGGCGCCGCCTCCTATGCCGCCCCCGCCTACTACGGCGCTGCTTCTTACGCCGCCCCCGCTTACTACGGACACGCTGCCCCTCTGGTGTCCCACGCCTATGGCTCTCCCCTGACCTTCGCCTCTTCCCTGGGCTACGGACAGGGATACGCCAAGATCAGCCGCGCTCACTAATGCAGCTTTGCTAGGAAAACGACGCCGCGACGACTGTGATCTCTGTTTAGAGCTTCTGTTACCTCTATGTTGCTTTTTATTTGTATAAACTTTGAAAATAAAAGCGACCAGCAAGCTTTTGAAATGAAAAAATTTAATTTTTAACTTAGCCAAACCTTTGACAAAATAATTGCTAGGATGTTAGGAAAAATTGGAAGAAAATATTTCAAAATAAACCAGAGACTCTTAATTTTCATATTAGAAAGTAACCTCTCACGTTCAAATATTTATTATGATACAGTTTGAGTTTTGAAAATTTATAAATAACACATTACTTGATTTTATTTTGCCTTTGTGAACTAGAATATGATTAATTTTAAAGGAGATAACTAATAGAAAACAGATAAAGTAATATCTTGAAATTTTTGTGATTATTATTTTCATATTACATTATGAAGGTGCGTTGCTCAAGCAGGGAAGTGCTTGTTGTGGTAGTGAAACACGCTTCCGAACAGAATTATGTAATGCACGGTTGATGCGGTGATCAAAGAAAAGTGGAATGTGCATTTCAGAGTTTTTTTTAACAATCACACAGTACCAACAACCAGTCCTCTTATTTTGATCTCAAGATCGGAAGCTTGGGTTTGTGAAACCATGTGTGAAATTACGCACTAAGCAAATAGAATGTTACATCAAGAAAGTTTTATTTTAATATGGAAGTTAATTATTTATGCTAATTGTAAGTGAACTTTGGTTACAAATAAAATAATATGTGCAAAAAAATTAAACAAAACTGCTTCATGCATATTATTATGAAAATATTTGGTCAATATTTTGGCATTTAAAAATTTCAGAAGAAACCAAATTTTTGTACAAAAGTAGTTGAATAAACGGGTAAAGACTGCTTTTAAAATTCTTTTTATTTCCAAGGTTTTATTTGTTTTTTATTTTTTGAGAAACCAAAAAAGATAAATTTTTGGGTCATTGAAAATCAATTTGTAAATTAAAAGTAAAAATTTTGGTATGAATTCTATTCTTTAAAGCCAAGTTTTCTCATACAGTTTCCGAATAACCAATACATATGTGTATTTAATTTTTTTCCTTTCCTAAGAGACATCACAAATTGTAATTGTAAATGAAATATTATTTTCACTAAAAAAGTAAATAAATAACCACAAAAAATTCATTTAATTAAATATCTGCATTTATTTAATTTTGGAAAAAAAAATTTAGAGATGTAACCAAGTTAGCGAAACCTGTATATATTGATTTTTTCCAAAATATTTTCTGTGAATTACTGCTTAGAGTGCTTAATATATTCCAGCTCTAGCTTATAAATGAAAATTGTTCCTAATATTTTTTTTCTCATTTAAATTTCTAAAATGTTCAAAATTTAAATTTTTAAATCTTCAACCTGTTTATAGCATTATTTTGTAAGACTTGAGAATATGTTAAAATTACACAAAATCAGGAGATGTAACCGTGAATTCATGGATTGGTAAACCTTAACAATAAAAATAAGTGTTGGTTCCATTTCAATGAATTTTATTATTTACAAGCGCGATGACAATGATGAAGGGTGAGATTTTACAAGCATGGCTGGAGATCCATCAACACAAAAGTGGCGATGCAAAAAATTAGTATCCACGGCTGATCTTGGCGTATCCGTGTCCGTAGCCCAGAGGGTTGGCGAAAGCCAGAGGAGCGCCATGGGGGTGGGCGACCACGGGGGCGGCGTGAGCGGCGTAGGCAAGAGGAGCCACGGCGGGGGCGGCGTGGTAAGCGGGGGCAGCGTGGTAGGCAGGGGCGGCGTGATGGACGGGGGCAGCATGGACGGCGTGTCCGGACTTGGTCACCTGGGCGTTGAAACCGTTGTGGGGGTCGGCGGTGTAGTGGACGGTGCGGGTGGTGCCATCGGGCTCCACCAGACTGTAGTGGCCCTTGACGACGTCACCCTCACGGGTCTCGGCCTGGCTCTTCTTGTCGCCGGTGTGCGCGTCAGCAACGCCGTACTCGAAGCTGTACTTGGGAACATGCTGAAAGAAATTTAAAATTATTAGTTTTAACTTCAATTTCAACTATGAAACAAAATTGAAATTATTAAAGAAATAAAATAAGTAAATCTGACAAAATCAATTTTTTTAATTGGAGAAATTCTATGACCTTTATGAATAATATGTTAAAATAATTAATTTTTTATATATGAAACTTACGAAGTAATCCTGAGGTGCGTGTCCAATAAGTCCAGCCTCAGCAACGGCGGCAACGGCCACGAAGGCGCAAAGGGCAACGGCGAACTGAATAATAGTTATTTATGATAAAATACCAAATTTTTTTTTAATCTTTTGCTCTTACCTTGGAAACCATGTTTATGTTTGTATGAGCAGTGCGATTGATTGACTGATATCGACTGGGTGCCATTCGCCACTTTTATACTCGACGGCGAACGCGAGAATATTTTCCTTTGCGCGAGATGCAGGTAGGTGGGGCGGGCAACACCTTCCTGATCGGAACTGGACCCGTTACGTCTGTCGAGCGAGCAGCGAGGTGCACCAAGACATACGCGATATATATTACCATAATAAATAATTATATGCATTATGCTTGCATGCACTCAGGTATATTATGCACAGGAGACCAGGAAACAATTTCTCTGCGTTGTTTTCACACTGTTTGAATTTCAGATGCATTGTGTGTCCGACCGGCGGAATTATCATCCAGTGAGCAAGGAGCCTTTTAAAACTGTTGACCGTCTAGACCGGTCTAGGTGAAATTTTTCAAAGATTTCTCCGTGCGGATGCTGCTAATCGTTGATTGACTGCCAAGCAAAAAATGTTTTCTCATTTTACATTGAATTTTTAATTGAATTTGTTTAATCACGATCAGCTGTTTTCACTTTAATTGACTCAAAAATGAATGTTTCCATATTAACTGGATATGGTTTTATATCAACTACATTAATCAATGGCGACTTCCTATGCTCACAAGTTAGGAAATACCTGTGCACCATGGTTACTATTAATTTTATGAAGCAATTCATTTTCATTAGTGCATGTCTTCCGTTTGAAATTAATATCCACGACGGCGGCGATGCGTGTAATGTCAATATTTTCAGATTACTCCACAGATCAACTCGTTCCGTGAAACATGAACAATACGAAGTATAATGTTTGGACAGCAGTTGTGGAAATAAATGTAACACTCCAAGCGCATGCTTATCTGCGGCTAATTAAAATTCCTTTACCATTTTTCTGCTCCCATGCGATTGATTCAAAGATTAAATCTCAATAATATTTAATTGAAGCAAAAAATATGAATTCTTTATTTATACAGATTGATTGGTTTTGAATTATATCAGCTGTTTTTTTTTTCTTTAAAGGGAAAAAGTAAAATACTAAGTTATTTTTGTTACTTTGCTGGACGTAATTGTGAAACGAACTGCGCAGAACCTTGCAAAAAGATCCTCAACTGGTCAAGAGCGCAAAAACTCGTTGCAGCAAACACACTTTTTGCGCCGTTGATTAAGTGCTAACAGCGAGCCTTTTTGCACCATTTACCGCAAAATCACTTCACAATCTGAATTCTTAGATAATTACTCTTGCTCAAACGTGAAGGCCATTTATTGAATTTTGTTATAATGCTGGTGACACTTTCTTGGTCATTCATCGCTTTTATTGTTAACTTGATTCAATTGAAAATACTGTTGTTTTTTTTTTACAGATCCTTAGCTAATTCAAGGCTTCATCCAAAAATAGATTTTACAAGTAGAATTTTTAGGGCTAGTTTTAGAAAATTTTATGTGATGAAAAACTCTAAAAAATTGAGAAAATATATTTTTAGATCTCTGCTTCTCACAATCAAGCATTGTTTATTGGACAACCAAGTTTGGCTTCTAATAATAATCTAAATTTTAGTTAAATAAATTTTTCAGTAAATATTTATTTTCAGGCAAGGCAAGAAGTGTAACAAGGAGTTAGCGTAGAGAAATCAAATTCTGGGAAGGAGTCCTTTTCAGATTGGAAATTCTTCAGTTTCTTTTTATAACTGTACTCGTAATCGAAAGTAATTACCACGTAAATAAATTTCCAAAGGTGTGATTTTCACACGAAAGACGCAATACAGAGCAGCTGCTCTAAATCACGCCGCGCACGTTATCAATGTCACAATATTTTTGGCGCGCGCTATATGCACTGAAGCTGCAAAAAGTGCCAAATGCGCACGATCACCGAATTAAAATTCCTGAGGAAACTTTCTTCCAGTTGCATCAGAACGAGCGAGTGATAAATTGTAAGCAGTGCTGCACAACAGCTGCTCCAAAATCAATCACATAGCAGTACAGCGAGATTGTATAACACCATAGCACGCGTCGCGGTGCATTAACTCTGTGAAAAAGTTCGCGCGCACAGCCTTGTCAAGGGCGCATTCTCGCGACGCGTTGAGTCTTCAACTGGCATTCATTACTATTTTCCGTTTCATGAACATTTTATATGACATAAATCATCGATGTAGTTTATGCCTTTTACCTCTTGCGGCTAAAGAGTGTAAGAATTGTTTTTTAAGTTTGCTAAAAAACAGAAAGAGAATAAATAATATTTGGCGACATCAGAATTTTAGAAATTTTAATCACAAGTAAGAGAGAGAGAAAATACAAACTAATAAGATAATATTGCACATTGAGTTTCTTTTCAGTAAAGTCAGACATTGGGACTGATGTTGTTTTTGCAGCTTAATAAATAGATATTGTAAAGTTTTGTAATTTGAAAGTTCTAAAAATGTTGTATATTTTTACGGATTTTAACGTTGACATTGTTTGTGATATTAGCATAATATAATTTTTTTTTTTTTAAATTTTTTTATAAAAATTCAAAGAACATTTAAAATTATATAAACATAATTTTTCATAATACATTTTAATTAAATAAATAACGTTAAATGTTTAAAAAAATATTGTTTATGCTACTTGATTGTTTCTGACATTAGAGTGCCAAATATCACTATATGTTTTTCTTTTAAAATTTCTTTCTTTTTAAATGTTTTTCAATAAAAATCTATGTCACTACTTTACTGATCTACCTCCTGAAGTTGCAAAGGAAACAATAAAGCCGGGTTTTTTACAACTATTGATAGTATTGTGAAAAGTACACAGTGTATTTTGACGGTTGCAAAAACCAGCATCGCAATTTGCATTTCACTCGTTAGCCAAAAGTAGTCCATTGGAAATTATTTCTCTCGTTCAGCCAAATTGAAAGACACGCGTGCAGCACCTATTTGATCGCAATGTGGGAGTCCGAGCGCATGGAAGTGCAACAAACCGGAACACAATTACAATTACGGCGCCGCGGATAAAAGTGTATTAATCAGTGAGTGTCGCAAGGCGTCAACCAAGATCGAAAATGAGAGCGGAGAGAAGGAGACAGAAATAAATCACCCCCGCTCAAATATTCGCAGATGCCGAAGTATAAAAGCATTTCGCCGGATACGTTAAGGAACAGTTGTCGCTCATTAACAACAACAACAACCATGTTCTCCAAAGTGAGTTGCAAATCTAAAATTTGAGTCTTAAAGAAACAAAATTAATTGGAATATCTTAATTGCAGATCGCCATCATCGCTTGCGCCGTTGCTGCGCTCGCTGTCTTCGCCGAGGCTGGATATGATGGACACGCACCTCAGGATTACTTCGTAAGTTTCAAATTCAAAGTGAATTCACAAAAATAAAAAAATAATATTAAATAGTGAAAATAAATAATAATTATACTTTTAAGAAAAATTTGCTGCCAATTTGAACAATACTAAATTTTTAATTGGAATTAAAATTAAGATTTTACTAAAGTTTTAAATTTTTTCAGCACGTTCCCAAGTACAGCTTCGAGTATGGAGTTGCTGACGCGCACACCGGCGACAAGAAGAGCCAGGCCGAGACCCGTGAGGGTGACGTCGTCAAGGGCCACTACAGCCTGGTGGAGCCCGATGGCACCACCCGCACCGTTCACTACACCGCTGACCCCCACAACGGTTTCAACGCCCAGGTGACCAAGTCCGGACACGCCGTCCATGCTGCCCCCGTCCACCATGCCGCCCCTGCCTACCACGCTGCCCCCGCTTACCATGCCGCCCCCGCCGTGGCTCCTCTTGCCTACGCTGCTCACGCCGCCCCCGTGGTCGCCCACCCCCATGGCGCTCCTCTGGCCTTCGCCAACCCTCTGGGCTACGGACACGGATACGCCAAGATCAGCCGTGGATACTAATTTTGGTGTTGCCGACTTTCCTGTTATGAATGAGAGATCTCCAGCAACTTTTTATAAAATGTCAAAGGTTGTTTCCTAAATAAAAAATGAAAAAAAGTTTTATCTTTTTCATTCTCTGAACGTCTGAACTGTAAAGAAAATCTGATATATGTAAATATTTTAATTCACGTTTGCCGCATATTTTATGAGAATGCAAGTTTAAATGATTTGGTAAAATCTATAATATAATGCTTAATAAAAGTATGCATATAATCTACGTTAAAAATGAAAGATTTAATAAATTATGATCGATTTAATCATTAAACTGGATTAAAATCTGTATTAGAAACAGAAAAACACAATTTTTTAGTAAATTTGCTTCATTAGTTCATTTAAAGGGTATCTTAGATTTTATTCAACTTTAACATACTTTGGATGTAATATATTTTTATAAGTGAGACTTCTAAAGAGCTTAATTCGCGCAACGTTTTGATTTTTGTTTTGTGAAAAATATATGAATTGAATTGAATTTATTTATTAATTATGAATAAAAAGAAAAGAAAAAGAAGAATTATAAAAATGTTGTTGATATTATCGATATCATATTTTAATTCGTTTTTTAGCTTAAGAAACTACAATTATGAAGAGCGTTAATAAGATTTTAAATTTGGTAAGATGAGCTAAGATTGACACCAAATTTAAAAATTAAATCCCCGATGTATGAGAAACTTTTGCCAACACTTTAAATCAACCCTATACCACTTTTCTTACGCCACCCGCTTCAATGAGCTGCTCGGCGGCACAGCTTCAAACGCTGTGCAAGGCGACCTTTTTCAACAAGCTGTCTTTCCCCTTTTTTATTTGGTGTGACATGCTTTATAGTTAGTGAGAAGTGACTTGATACTTCAATATCAATAAGTATTTATCTATGCATTGATCCATCTCTCTTTACGCAATATAATATTTGTTTTACTTTTCATTAAACAAATTAATCTTTATAATTGTGTGTGTTACTGCCTACTTTGACATCAGACAAATTTTTGTTTAACCAACTTGATTTTGCTATAGCTAAATGTCATCGTTTTTTTTACAGATCTCTTCGTCAACTTTCATGTAAATTATTTTAATATTCTAATGTTTGGATATTTTCATGGTTTAAATTTAATTAAACTCTGATTAAACTCTGATTTAACTCTTAATTAATTTAAGGCAAAATATTTAGTAAAATATGAAAAATCAAATTTTAAAAACACGAACTGCAACCAGTTCAAGAAGGAAAAACTAAATAGGTGGGGAATTAATATTTCATAAATTACCTTTAAAATATAAAATAATTATGGAATTTCAATTGGCCAAAGCTCGTAACGTGCACCAGTTATTATACACAGTAATTAAACTTCCTTTCAGCATGAAGATCATTAAAAATCCCAAATACACCGCTAGTGATTGTATTCATTGGTTAAAAAAGCGGATCGCAGTGAATGCACGCACTTCATAATTTCGCACCTAGAGCAGCAAAAAGCCGGCGAGAGTGAAACAAATTACACGGTGGCTGTCAAGGTCGACTGACCATATTGATTAGCGCAGATATGTGTAAATTCATAACTGATAATAATTTCCGCGTGTGATGTAAGAAGAATGTGCGCTTTTCACTGTTAGTTCCGATCTGCGGACGCATTAGCGAAAGCACATGCCCCGCCCACGTCTTCAATTTCTCACCTGAGTCGATCGGACTATAAAAGCGATCGGAGCGTGTTGATCGCCACTCACAGCTCAACTTGCTTCAAACAAGCAAACAACTAGCCTACAAACATGCTCAAGGTGCGCCAACCAACAGGATTTGCAAAATTTACAAGGGATTAACTGAAATTTGTAATTTCAGATCACCATTGCTGCCTTCGCCCTCGTGGCCGTCACCGCCGTTGCTGGATACGAACATGCCCCCAAGGACTACTTCGTAAGTTCAAAATTTATAAAAGAATAAGATTTTCCAGTGCTTACATAGAATACTAAAGTTCATAAAAAAATATTTTAATCGCTGTTTATTAAATTTCATCATGTAATTAATATTAAAAATATTAAAAAGGAATAACAATTGACCCAATTCAATCACTTTTTTAAGGTTCATTATTTAATTTAGAGTAATCGTCTAACCAAATCAATATTTAATCATTCCAGCATGTTCCTAAGTACAACTTTGAGTACGGCGTTGCTGACGCGCACACCGGCGACAAGAAGAGCCAGGCCGAGACCCGTGAGGGTGACGTCGTCAAGGGCCACTACAGCCTGGTGGAGCCCGATGGCACCACCCGCACCGTCCACTACACCGCCGACCCCCACAACGGTTTCAACGCTCAGGTGACCAAGTCCGGACACGCCGTCCATGCTGCCCCCGTCCATCACGCCGCCCCTGCCTACCACGCTGCCCCCGCTTACCATGCCGCCCCCGCCGTGGCTCCTCTTGCCTACGCCGCTCACGCCGCCCCCGTGGTCGCCCACCCCCATGGCGCTCCTCTGGCCTTCGCCAACCCTCTGGGCTACGGACACGGATTCGCCAAGATCAACCGCGGATACTAATTGGTCCCAAAATAGTCTGAGATCTCATTTCATCACTCCCATCTCTCCCTCATCCTTCATTCATCCCATACTTCGTCATTTTCTTGAACACCTCTCTGCTGTCATGTGATATTGCATTTTAAGCAACAATAAAAGTCAGAGTTGATTCTCTGTTTGAAGAATTACATTAATTTATCATTAATTGCCTCTTATCTCATTGAGATACTACCAAATATAACATTGATAAATCTATGCTTAAATTACAAATTAAATTTACTACAAAATCAATCAAATTTAAGATTCTTTTACAAGCCTCAACATTTTGACCATAATTAACTACTAAAATTATATTAATAAGTTAGAATTTTTGGCAAAAGGTCAAGCATAATTCCTTAAATTATATTAAAACAATTAAAAACGGTTGTTAAAATTTTAAAAAATAATGAGTAATAATAATATTGATTATATATATATTTTTTTTAAATGGTTTAAATACACGCACTAAAATAATAATTATAATAATTAAAGCATTATAAATGCTATTTCCTCATCAATCATCTCCTGTGAGAATTAAAATAAAATGTGGATGTCAAGCATTTAATTACAATAAGTTTTTTTTTACTTACTTGAAACGATAAGATATAAAAGTACAAACGTTTTAGCTGTTTTTTTCTGTTAGAGTATAATGAGTAATTAATGTGCCCGCGCGACAGCAAGTGCGGAGCTGTGCTAATTTTGGAGTCATTAGTGCTAATAGTTGCATCGACCTTTTGATAAGGGCGTCCAGCAGATGTGTGCAGACTCATCTTTAATGCGCGTGTGTGAGCATGAAAACATTCTGCCGCAGCCTTGGCAGGAAAGACGCTCCTCAAAAGAACAAGCGACCTTACAAGGAAAAAAATCTGAAAAATATAATTCGCACACACGTCAGACGCAATAATTCACCAAATTTTGCACAAATTCACATGCCGCCTGGGAGTGAGAGTGGTTGGTAGGAGAAATGTATTTTTAGAAACAAAATTGCAGGTTGCTAGTTTTTACACAAGATTTAAATCTTTAGTTTTGGTGTTAAACGTATTTATAATTTAGTATTTTACATCTCTAACAACAAAGTTTTTATGGATGGTCAAAGCATATATTAACCAATTTAAACTAGGTTTCTGCGGAGAGAAATTAATTTTTCGAATATGAAAGTAGATGGCATTAAAACAATAATTACATCGTGCAAGCTAGTGAAAGAGGATAACGGATAATTTTTGTGGTTAATTTAAGTAACAAGAAAAAGGGGAAAATTCGATGAAATGATCAAATTTTTACAATATTTGGATATTTGTGAGGAGCATATTGTTATTCGAGTTGTTAAATTTTAACCGAAATTAAAAGTCGCTCTTGGGAAATATTACAATAAGATTATATTAAATTATATTTTTTGTGATATTTTTATGATCTTTTTGATTGTAAATTTTCCTATATTTAAGATTAAATCATGAAAACACCAATGAAAACCGACAAAGGGAAGATTTGTAATGATAACAGAATTTTAAAGCACTTTTTATGTTCGCATAAATAATGTCGTATTTTTTAATAAGCCGTGGGTTTTCACTCTCATTTTAATTTTAATCTCGTTGCACGCAATACAGCATTAAAATTAACTGTGCCAGAAAAAAGCACCAGTTTCCTCACAGGTGGATGTAATTAAAAGAATTTTCTCAGCGGCAACTGTAATAGAACTGCTTGCTTCATTTGGCTCTCGTTGTTCCACAGTTGCAAAGACGCAGTTTGATACAGAAAAAGGCCAGCGTGAGAGACAATGGCCTATGACCTTCCCCATTGTCTATTTTCTCTCTCGTTCTTTGCAGAGATGAAAGCGCAATTGGCCGAAAGAAAAGGCACGCGCCTGCCACAGGTTTATCTCTTATTATTATATTATTATACGACCAGCTGATATAAAATCATAATTTTATGATTTCAAAACAAACGCACTTCCATTCCCAGACTCCTTTATCTTAATAAAACGAGACACGTCAAATTACCACGCCAAGCTTGTTTGCCACCGATTTGCATGAATTTGAATTATTTCCCATGCAAATGCTCACTCGGACCTTGAGGTCAGCTCATTTTCTAACGCGAGTTTGGGGGATGATTATATGATAAGCAAAGGTCATTATAATTACAGAACAACACAAACAAAGCTACTGTGTTTTTGCTGCACAGGAATTTGAGTATTAATAAGTAATAATTGGGACCATCGGGGAATGGATCTTCTCAGTTTTATTTATTTATTTCTGCAAGGAGAATAACTTTTTTAATTGAAAAATAAATCAAATACATTTTCTTGACATTTATGTAGCGTTGATGGATATTTATGAAAATTTGAGATAAAAATTCCCCCCTCCCCCCAAATATATTATGATCAATAAAAATTTTGAAAATCTATTTAAGTCAATGAAATTAAAAAAAGCACTGATATTTTTATAATTTTTCAATTATATATTTATCAATTCCCTCCATTCTTGCACACTTCAATGGCTACTTCATTTTTCGTTTACAGGATCTAGAAAATTATGAAATAAAAGCCTTCCTTTTTAAAATATTTATGAAAATTAAATGCAAAGCTGCAGGACAGGAAGCGATTCGTTTTAACCTTTCTTCGCAAAACCCATATTTTAATTAATTGCTAAATTCGCCAGTTTAACACGCATGCCTTTCATTAATTAGCAAACGTGGCTGCTCCTGCAAAATGCTCTTTCAGATGCAAAATAATGCATGAGCGGAAATAGGCAGAAGTGCTGTTGAATTCCTCTGAATAAGTTTATGCACCGCTTGGGAGGTCACTTGGCGAGAGGGAAAGTAAAAAAATAAGCTGTTGACTCTACGCATAGGGTTATCATTGTGCCGAGATTCCTCTTCCTCTGCCTTCATTATGTTATGGGAACCATGCCACAATGACTTATATCAAAGCACGCGTAAAAATAGGAGGGATTTTTGGATTGCGCCAAGCCTTTATAAAGAACCGACTCAAATTAGCCGACTTCACAAGTTCTTTGTTTTGCCAACATGAAGCACCTCCCTGGGGTAAGTCAACTGAAATCAATATTTAGTAATTTGTATTGTCCTGAAAACTGCAATTCCAAATAATTTGTTAAATTTAGATAGCACAAATCATATCTTCTATATTTTCAAATTAATTTCACATTTCAGTTTCTCAAAAATAAGTGCTGTACAGTTGGTCATCTATTCTGTATTGTGTCACTGGTCTAAATCATGAAGATAATATTTTATTTGTAGCTTTTATTTGAATTTTAGCAAAATTTAAAAAATTGAATATTTTTATTTAAAAAAAAATTATAACTATGAACCTCATTTGAGCTTAATTTTATATAAATCATCAAATTTTTACAATTTGCAGTTTTTGATTGCTTCGTCAGTGCTGGCTGTTGCCTCAGCAGGATACCTGCCTTCAGCGAAATTGATCGACTATTATGTAAGCAATCATGTTATGCTTTTACTCTTCTTGTCAGACTCTTCATTTAGCATAAAACCGCAAGCTCGAAGTAGCTCTAGTTTCCTAACCACACCATTTCAAACATGATAATGTAGCTCAAACTACATTTCCATGTTTTTATGACATTTGGATGAAATTTACTTTTAATGTTTGTTTCATGCTGCATACTATTACACTATTTATAGTTTGTAATAAAATATTATTTTATATTTCAGTCGCATCCGAAGTACGACTTTAGCTATGGCGTGAACGACCCCCACACCGGAGACCAGAAGAGCCAGCACGAGACCCGCGACGGTGACGTCGTCAAAGGCCAGTACTCCCTGGTGGAGCCCGACGGTTCCGTGCGCACCGTCCACTACACCGCCGACAGCGTCAACGGGTTCAACGCCCACGTGACCAAGTCTGGGCCCGGCGTGCACCCGCCGCCCGAGCTCAAGAACCCGCACCCGGCGCCCATCGTGGCCGCACCGGCCGTTCTGCCCGCTCCTGCCATAATCCACAAGCCTGTCTTGCACAGACCACTGGCCTTCGCCAAACCGATCGTGGTGAAACCGGCAATCGCTGCGCCCGTCTACAGACCCGTCCAGCAACTGTTCGCCACCAACCCCATCCACCACCATGAGTACGTGGCCGCACACTACAACCCCGTGCCCATCAAGTACGTCAAGAACTACCAGTACGAGCCTCACCCTCACCAGACCTACTACGACCACTTCGACCGGTACGACCAGGGCGCTGACTACGCGTTACAAAACTCGCAGGGATACGATTATTCCTACTAATTTCGCTTGTTCTCTTTTAACTTATTAAGATGTATAATTTTTGTAAATTTTTTATACAGAGCTATTTTGAAATGATGTAAGAAAATTAGAACTTGGTTGTTTTCTCATGAAAAGTGTGTTTTAATATCAAAGAAACGTGCAAATGTTTAATCGTTTCGCTGGAAAAGAATACCTGATTTTTTAGAGCATAATCTCAGTTCTGATGTTGATTTTAGAAGAGATTAATTAATAAGTGCCTTCCTTAACATCAAGATCTTTTCCATCATCTCGAAAAATTTGATAGTGCTTCAATTCTCGTGATTTGAGTATTTTATTTCCACCGAGTGCTGAAGTTGGAAATTTTTCTTATGTTTTGTGAAAATATAAACATTGAAAAATATCCAAATTCTCTAAGAGATTTTCACTCCATCATCATTCTCTTGTCATCTCTTGGATTAATTTAAAAATTGTCCTCATGATTTTTATTAAAAATGAAGCTAAATAAAATAAGAGCTTGTCAACTGAGAAACTTTCGTTTGTTTTCTCTGCCTCGGTCTTGACTCCGATGATCTTTCCCAAGAAGAGCCTTTCCTTGGCGCAAATAAAAGCGACACCCCGGCCATGTGAAAATTATACAATAATTGCTTTTGCGACAGCAGGAAAGTATGTAAATTACGTGAGAAATAACAACATGCAGAACTCAATTTGACAATGAGGCGACCGCATTGAAATCAACGCCAAAGAAACAAAGACTTTTACCAGAATGCGGCTAGTGAGAAATTTTTAATTGTTCTGCTAATTTAGCAATCCTCCCGGTCCTTCTCATAAAATACCTGCAAGACACTAACTGCTAAATCTCAAGGTTTGGAGATTCTTTTACTATAAAATAGAACTTTTGTAAAAAAAGAAGTTAAAATACTTATGCAAACGAGATGGAAAGACATTATTTAAAGCAATAAATAAAACGTGTGTTGTACAATAATTAAAAAACTAAACATAAAATTAATTATTGTTGTTTGCTTGTCCACAATTTAAAATTTTATTTCCTACCAAAGAACTAATGTTTTTAATAAAAAACAAATACAAGTGCTTACTTCTAAAATTATTCAAAATAAAAGTATAAATAAATCCATGATGTAATAATTTCCATATTTAAACTCTCAGTTTTGGATTGAAAGAATCGATTGATTTTTGTATCTTCAAATGGAATTCCACCGTTGAAAGTGTCAAAATTAAGTGGGTGAGATTTGGTAACAAGAGTGGGCGATTACATCCAAGTTTTCAAACACATTAATAGTTGAGCAGCTAGAGGAAGTCGGCTTGAATACAATTAATCAGAGAATCGGTGTTGCACGGTGCACCAACGCGTGTCATCCCGAGCGAGTCAGTCGTTTTTTACCACACACAGCACATGGCTAACTATATCTCAGTGCAATAATAGCTCTCGGTTTCCTATCACTGATTCGCGTGTATTATTCTTCTTGCTTGCTCAACTTGGAGCGATCCGTCGTGACTTTGCACTGATGGATTCCGATTGTGAACTCTTTGTCGGAGTAACAAACAAATTAGCAATGAAATAGTAACCTAATTTAAGGTTTCTATGTTGTAATATAATCTAGATTACAGATTGATAATAGTTAAAAATAGATCGCACAATCAGTTCAAAAGAAAGCACAAGAGTAAAATTTGTGTTATTATCAGATTATCAAAATTATAAAATTATTTATCTAAACAAATTTAACATTGATTTTGCACGCAAGTTAAAAAATATAACGAAAGTGAAAAATCATTTTCTAGAAAGAGACAATTAAAAACTCTCGCTGCACTAGATGCAATAAAACAATAATTCATGCAGCTAATGAAAAATGTAACAGTGTGGATGCTCATCTCCTTTTTCCTTTGCATCGCCCACGGCGTAATTGGCTTTCTAAATTTGCGTGCGAGAAATATGGGAAATGATGAGAATAAGAGCGATTCCGTTCCAACGACAGAGGATACACGAACGAAATAATAATAACAATAAAATTTATGACAATTTGTAGGTTTCCAGCATCTCTGTGAAATTCTTTCCGAATATTTTTCTTTTCATTTTGGAAGCACACAAGTATTGCCCTTTTTCAAGTACATTCAACTTTAGCGGTGATAACAACTGTTTTTTTTTTTAATTATTTAACATTTTAATTAGAATAATAATTTTAATTTAATTAGGATAAAATGAAAGTAGAAGTTAATCTTATACGCACGGGATACGTCAGCTATAACTTTTTGACTGATTTCCTTAAGATGTGTGAAAGTCAAAGTTTTCAGTTGGCTATCCATGTAAAACAAATTGCAGGCATATTTTTAAGTGCGGGGTACTTTACACACCTCATTGGCCGCGCAATTAGTTAAAAATCAGTCCGCATTGGAACGGAAGTGAGTGTTAATGGCAGAGCTCGATATCGGAACACATTATTATTCGCCAGAACTTCCATAAACGCTGTTATTACAGATTTCAACGAGAGATGCAATTAAGTGATGCTCTCTTTTATCAAGAGTGAAATTGGAGAGATATTATAGAAAGCGTGCGTGCTGTACCCATGTGCGCATCTGCATGCCTCGCCGTACCCAAATGAGAATGCGTTTCATTCAACTCGCGCGGCTGGACGGACGGAGATCGACCAAATGAGCAACAATTAACATCAAGAACAAAAGCGTTTATTTCTAGTGCGTGGGAAAAGTCTTCGTGTTAATGACTTCTTACAGCAGTTTTAAAAAGGCAACAAGCTGCTTAAGCATTTTAAATAATTTGATGACATGCCATTTATACTTGAAATCGATTACAAAAAGTTACGGTGGACTGAGAGAGCAATTATAATTCAAAATAATAATTTAATTAAAAAATGTTTTGGCTAAAATATCTCACCAAATTTTGTAGTGATCATGGGCAAAATAATAACAAAGAGAGAGATTTTTTTTTCAAAAAATGTACTATAATAAATTATAACATAATTTTACATTGCAGATTTGCGTTTTAAATTTTCAGTTTTGATTGAACGATAATATTAATAATGTTCACCTATATTAAAATTAAAAAAGTTTATCAACAAATTCATAAGAAGATACATAAATTTGGTTATCTCTGTAAAAATTAAATTTAACAAATTTTTGTAATTTTTTTTTATTCAACACATATTTTAACTGTATAATTGTCAATTTAATTTTTAATTTTAACGCTATTTTTTGGAACTTGACAGAGTAACTCAGTTTTATTCTAAAACAAGATGAATTCAACAAAATTTTGAGCAAATAGGATGAAGATTAAGCTTTTTGTATCAGTAAAAGCAATACTTAACATTTCCTGACTTCTTTCAAGCACATTGATATTAAAAATCAAACGTATGAAATTTATTCCTATTCTCAGACTGGGAAGTAAAAGTAGAAATAATGATCCGGCGATTCCTCGTTGGAGCGAGATGAAGATTATTATGCACCGTGGGCAGCCAAATCGCTGCTGTCCAGAGGAGGAAATTAGTTTACGCAGCAGCACCTCATCTGCGTCTTGTTCCGGTACATTGGCAAGGCGCGGGGAGAAGATTATGCAAGCGCGTGTCTGAAAGTGGCTCGCTCGCTCGGCTGATAATAGGCGAGCATAATCATGCCATACACTCGCACGTTAATTCGAGGTTATTAGCATCTTTCTCTCTCTGCCTCCGAAGCAGCATCGAATGCGGGAGAGAGAAAGATGATCACCATAACACCAGCCCCTTCCAGTGGTACTTCCAGGCACCGGCAACGAGAGTGCTCCATATATAAGCATCTCACTGCCACTGTTATGGACATACTCAATTCGTACATCTACCTCTCAGTACACCAACCACCAATTCAGAGCAAGATGAGAGCCTATCAGGTAAAGAACATAAATGTTTTGATTTAAAATTATTCTAAAGGTTTTTTAAAAATAATATTTTGCAACCCAAATCTGAGTTTATTCATTCAAGTTCATAATATATATAAATTATTGCGTTTTTATCATTTTTTTTATTGATATTCATTTAAGGATAATAATTTTAATGAAAAATCGTTGCCATTAAATTAATTTTAATTATTACATTTAGTTTTTAGTATTTTGAATATTATGCTAAATTTTTGTTTCAATAAAAAAAATGTGCGCATTGAAGATTTAGATTCCGACTAAAACCTAAAATTTTTATAATTTTTTGTTTAATTTCCGTAATTAATTTTTTCGTTTATTCTTTCCCCCAGATCCTCGCCTTTGTCAGTGCATTTGTGGCTTTGGCCGCTGCCTACCCTCAGCATTATGGAGGTCATGAAGATCATGGACACAAGGAACTCTATGACTACTATGTAAGAATTTAACCACATTAATTACATACGCACTTAACCAAATTTGATTGTAAAATATAGTAAAACTAACTAAAATATAGTCAATCAGAATAATTCCAAACCACAAAAAAAAAAATTATTTATATTAAAAAAAATAATTTTTCTATATTCCTTTGCAAAATACCAAAATTAGAGAAATTATTTAAAATTGTATGAAATACTGAACATTGAATTTTTTGTTCGAACCTTTTGGATTATCAGAGACGAAAGTCTATCTCTTACTTATTGTCAATTATGCTTTCCCGCAGGCTTATCCCAAGTACCAGTTTGACTACGCCGTGCACGACCCGCACACCGGCGACTTCAAGAACCAGTGGGAGACCCGCGACGGCGACGTGGTCAAGGGCGAGTACACGGTCCACGACCCTGACGGCACCATCCGCACCGTCAAGTACACCGCCGACAAGCACAACGGATTCAACGCCGTCGTGCACAAGGCCGGAAAGTCGCACCACCCCCAGAACTACGGCCACCACTACTAATTAAAGGCCCAAATTCTTTCCACATACATCCCGCCTCCGTGCAAATTTGAATCCTACTCGTCATTTATAGTGTAAATACGTAGCAGATCACCCACCCATCGTGCGCATTCTCCACTGCGAGGAGAAGTAAAGCAGCTAAAATTTTGTAAAATGTGTGTTAAATGCAAGTCGGCATTTTTTATGCGGAAACTGAAAAATGACTGTCCGACTGTGCAATGTTAAAACTGTTATAAGTGTGATGTTTTTTTTTTTAATAAATGGTATATTTTTTAAAAGTTTTGTTTCATTTCCATAATGATTGAAATTAAATTTCAGGACTGAATTTAAATTTGATCTTGAAATAATATCATCTAAATAAAATATTTTTGAGCAAATTAATTTATGATTTTAGTTTATTAGAATGCCTAGCCGAAAATATAAATGATGTTGGCAAATCTCTCCGACTCCCAAAGATTTGTGATAAAAGGATATGCGGGTATGGCAATAAAAAAATTGACTCTTCTACGTATATTATAAATGAACAGCACTTTCTATGAGATCGATATACTTTATATGTTCGGCGAAAGAAGGATAATTGCTCTACTCCACTAAAGTTTAGTGTTTGCTCATAAAGAATTCACGCACAGAGAGAGTTTTCACTGTGAGAGGGAATTATTACCTGCGCGTTTTTTATCTGTTCCGGTGCGCTCGCGATATGTTTTATTTTACGGCGTCATTAGCGCCGGCCGGATCAATATCTTTCTTTCCTGCCCAATTTCCCGCATATTTAGTTCCTCTTCCGCCGATTTGAATATTTTACTGTTGACCGGACCTTTTCATATCCACACGACGAGATGAATGTGTTTTCATGCATCACCGATTGCGATGGAAAGTTTGATAATCCTTTCACTTTTTGTGTCACAATTTCAATATCCGCACATGTCATGTTTGTAGAGCACTTTTTGCTTGCAAATAATATTTGAAAACCCTTCCGATAATTGAATAATTCTTCCTCTTGCTCTATATACTTAAAAATTCGTAAAAAAAAAATTTGAAAGATATTTTTGGCGTTATAAATAAAAAGTGGATAAGACAAGAATATAATAAATAATCTGGATGTCCCGCATGAATCTTTTATTGACTTGAAATATATCAAAAAACACTTCTACTTATAAAGTGTGTTAGAAAGTGGTCGTTCATTTCTTACAACCAAATCTTCCTGTCTTTTGAGCGACGAAGAAAGTAAGCAGCAATGAATGCGTGAATGTGCGCTTAAAAAAAAAGTGTCGCTCCAGATGGAATTGAGAAGATCCTCCATCATTGGCATCTTTCCAATGATTTATGCTTCAATTTACGAATACAAGATTATGGCTACTTTCTTATTAATTTGCTTTCGCTGCTGAAAACAAGGAAAGTTTAGACTAAATTAATTATGCAAAAATTCTGTAGAAGTTTTCAAAGCTGAATTAACATTTAAGAGTTTTTTAAGATATTTTTTTTTAAATATTTTTATCTCTAGAGTAAAAAATCCGAGCCGCTATGTGCGGCAAAAATATTAATGGAGACTGAAAAGAGTTTGTGCGAGGGAAAGTTGACTTGAGCGTAGGCAAATGGCAGCGATATGGTGTATTGCGTTGAGCATAGTTCCCAGGCAAATAAATATTTCTATCGTACCAATTGTAGAATCCAGATGAAATTGGAGTAATTATAGTAAAATACACCCGCGACTGGAAATTTACAATTTTCTCTACACAAGAAAGCATTGGATATTGGATTAACCGTATTATTATAATAATCAGTATCACTACACTTACATAAATTTAATTAATTTAGAATTTCATTTTTCTGCCGTTCTTAATATTTTCTTGCCTTTATATAAATAAATGATTAAATGAAATTTATACGGACAAAAATTGTGAAAATATTTTAAATACATTTATGAAGCAAACAAGCAACATCGGGAATTTTTTGAGAATTTAAAACCCAAAGAAAGAACTCAAAAGGGAAATAATTAAATTAGGTTTTGTCTCAAATATCTCGCGTCTGGTAACGTAAAGGCGATTAGTCACAAGTTACCAATTTAAATATTTAAGACCTTCAATTTCTGTGTTAAATTAATAGAATATTTTTTAATATTTCATTTAATTCCAAATCAAATTGGTAAATCAATTAATTATTATCTCTTTCTTTTACCACGTAATTTAATTAACAGCTCTCCGACACAGATATCACTAATTGGCATGCAGAAAGTCCTGGGTTCAAACCCCAGCATCTCCTATGTTTTTTTTACATTATATTTTTTGGGATTTTACTGCATCTTTTTAATAAATAACGTAAACCAAAGCTTGAAATAAAAATTTAATTATATTATTCCACCGCTATAAAAACTGTGCATAAATAAACTGAAATTTTGGATGAAAAACATTTTGAGTCATAATTTGAATAAAGAAAAACATTCATTAATACAATAAAATGACTGCATTGATAATGTAATTTTGCATTAAATCAAAATTATACTTTTTCTGAAGATTACCTAATTGTAAGTAGGATTTATAATATGCTTCAATTTCTATGCCAGTCTATGATGGCATAAAATATCCAATTTCAAAATGATTTCAGAGCAAGAAGTAATTTTTTAATTGTCTAATAGACATTTTTAGCTTGATGAAATCGCCATAAAATATTGCTCTATGCTATGGAAGTACAAGCAATTGGAACGAGACAATATATAAACAACATTGTAGGACTTGGGCAACATTTGCAGAAACTATAAAAAGTAAACAATCAGTCTAAGAGCGTTGGACTCCATCGAGCATGAATAGGATTTGAGTAACTTGGCAAGTCATCAGTGAAACTGGTTTCAGCCCATCAGGTACCCTTGGATGTTTGTGCGAGAGCAGAGGCTGCAAGTTCAAGAACCGCAGACGAAGCGTTTAGAAAATTATTCCGCTGAAAAATGCAATCGGCATTGAAATTAAAGGCATGCTCAATATTGCACCGGTCAAACTGGACCCGATTAGCGGAGATGCGACGGATGAAAAAGAAAGCGGTCTAAACAGCTTTCCCTGCCACCGATAATATTGTCCGGCCGGGTATAAATGGAGCCACGCTTGTCCCTGACCTTCACAACACACATCGTTTATGCAGCAAACATGAGCACATCTCAGCAAATGCAGGTACGCAAATAAGATTTTTTTTTTCAAAAACAGATAGTTGATAAGATTTTGTAAAGAAATTTTTTTTTTAATTTCAATAAAATTTGAATTTCCATTTGAAAAATATAACAAAAAAATAGATTTTATGCTTATATTTTTAAAATTTTCTTAAAAAACAACCAAATTGAATTCAGTTTGATTGCTATAATTATAATCATATAAGCTTGAATACGAATTCAACATTTTGCTGTCAATTTAAAAAAAAAGGATGAAGGTACTTACATTGCTGTGCTCTTCCTCGCAGGTCGTATTCCTCGTGCTGGCGGTCGCCGCTACTCACGCTTACCCTCCGAGCTTCGGCAGATACCAAAAGAAGGACGGTCAGGAAGGTGGTGACTCAGGTTTGGGCTCCATCAAGAAAGGCCAAGAAGCCCTGTCTGCGCAGCACGCCGTCGAGGACGTAAGTATTCACTTTTTAAATTCACCACTTTTGACTATCCTAAGTTGATCACAGTCTGGGCTATCGTTGAAATCACTAATTTTTCAATTAATAATCTTGAGTCACGATTTCAAAAACCGAAATTATTTGGCATGTAAATGGAAATAACGCAGAAAACAAGCAACGAAGCAACTGACCAACTTTGCTCCTGCTCACTGTCAACAACAACAGCTGATTTTCCCTCTCCCGTTCGCAATCCAAAAATCCTCCTGTGAAGTAGACACCCCCGTGCAACACTAATGCAACTCTGCCTTGCATACTTATCAAAATTGCAGGGGCTACATTTTATAATTTCTTTAATACATTTCAATTAATAATGCAGCTTGCACCAAAAAGATTGTGACCAACATTTTAAAACAGCGATCAATTCAATTAAATAAAAATAATGTTCCATTCATTTCATACATTTTATTTTAAATTTTCAAATGATTGAATTTTACTAAATTTTATATATATTTTTTTTATCTATATTGTTTTCAAAGCACACACTGGATAATTTTTTTCTTCATAGTAAAATATCTCAAAACTGTTGTAAAAATATTTAATTATTATAAAACTATGCTACCTCTGCTCACTCTTTTGATCGGCATTTTTAATTTGTTGTATTGTTATTATTGGGTGGGTTATTTGTTACTTTTCAGTAACTAACAATTTTTTTAAACAGGACTACCACAAGCCATCCTACAAGTTCGAATACACGGTGAGCGACCCTCACACTGGCGACCTCAAGAAGCAGTGGGAGCACCGCGAGGGTGGCGTGGTCAAGGGTCTGTACAGCCTGGTGGAGCCGGACGGCTCCCTGCGCACCGTTCACTACGAGGCTGACCCCAAGACCGGCTTCCACGCCACCGTGCACAAGACGGGCGTCAACAAGCACCCGGCGCCGACGAAAAAGCAGCTCGCCCCAGCAGTGCACAAGAACTACTTTTCCGCCGGCTTCGGAGGAGAAGAAGAATCTTCGTTCAGGCAGTGATCGCATGTTTCATTTGTTCTCTAGATTTTCATCATATATTTAAATCATCTACTTTTCATATTTTTTCAAGCTTTGTTTCATCGCTTCTTTTATAATAAAACAATTTACTCCTGAATAAGAGTTATTTTTTATTATTCCACAAAGTTATTCCATAAAATATAAATTAAACTTAATTTGCAACTAAATTTTTAGCTTAAATTGTTAACTGTTAATGCAAATTCAAGTTATTGAAAAAAATTGATAATCATACAACTTTAAATAATTTAATGAATTATAAAAAAACAATATTTTACTACACTTGTACATTTACTAATCGTCAGAATATATGGGAATTAGCCTTGATCTTTGTATCCGCTGCGGGCGTTTGTTAAAACTGCGTGATGACTAGCAGGTAGCCAACGGAGCCGAAGAGCACCTTTTTGGAAATCACGAATTTCTATTGCCAGCTGCACTGCGCTTGTAAAAATCTTACCAGGGTAACGAATTCGCGTGAAATCCTGAAGTATCCGTTTCCAGTGAAGCCCATCAGCGACACACTGTTCAAGCACACATTCGACAAAACCATCAAGGTCGATTTGTATGTTCCAGGAACCATTCCTGCGTTGCTCGTTAATGGCATTATGGTCACAGTGCGAATCAGTTTTTCAGACTTATGGAAAAATAAGATAGGTTAAACAAATTTTGATTTTGCCTACCGAGTCGATGAATTGCTGCCCAGCATTGTGGAAACCGAATAACTGCATCAGGAGCAAAATCAAGGTGTAAATTAGAGCGGAATCCTTCGTCTATTTCACTTCAATTTTAATAAATTTCAACGATATGTTGTAAATTTCATCGTACCAATATTAATTTATAGCCATAGAGCAAAAAGCAAGCTACTCCCAGAATATTTGGCGCCATCACAATTGGTCCGATAAATGCATTGGCCTCGTTGACACAGTCGTCCAGATGGTTGTAATATCTGACCCAGTTTCTGAAATCGCGGGTCACCTGCCCATTACTATCGTTTGAAGACGGTGCCAATGCACGAGATGCGATTTGCTCAAGAAATTTGACTCGCTCGGAGAGAGAAATGATCACGCCGTTGATAAAGGCGTCCACGGAGGACATGCTCAGCACGTTGAGGGCGGTGATGGTGCCTTTTTAAAGGAAATTATGATATGTATAATATGTGAAAATTAATATTTCTAATCTTACTCTGGAATATCATGATAATAACGTACTCCAGAGAATTAATTTGCACGCGATCGAACCACCACATTTTGAATAATGTGAGGCGTCCTCCCATAGTAGGAGCGTTGTCAGTGCTATAGGAAAAATTATTAAAATAAATGATTTGATTTTGAATTTATAAATTCTAGAATAAATATTACTACAAAAATGTAAATAAACTTACAGGATGATGAATGGCAGCAGAAAGCTCAACACGTATAAGGCGGTCCGCAGTGTGCAAAAAGTCCAATTGTACCTGCTGACTTTCAGTGCAGTTTCTTTCCTCACCAGTAATCCTTCAACGTCCAGCTCGCTATTTTCAATCTTAGGCTCCGCTATAATATTTAAATATTCCAAGTATTCATTAACTTATTAAAAAAATTGAGGTTCAAATTTTTACTCGAAATTAAATATATATATATATATATATATATATATATATATATATATATATATATATATATATATATATATATATATATATATATATATATATATATATATATATATATACATTATTGTCTTTTTAACAACAGTACAAGGAGCAGCAGTACTTAGTTAGTATTTTTACTATATCACTGCGTAAAATAATTAAATTTAAACGGATTAATTAACAAAACTTCTCACGAATTTCCAATTCCAGGTGCATGTAAGGTGCATTTTTATATTAAATTAAATTTAATTCAATGTTGCGCTACATAAAATGAGTCTGGAAATGACATGCGTATACCCCAATAAAGCACTACGCGGACGGTATATAAAGATATTATTTTGTGTATAATAACCAAAACCACTTGCTTTCCATCATTTTCAAAAGATTGGCTAGACCATCCTCATTCCTCCAAAAATAGATTCTGCGGTGCAGGGCAGTCACGCTGACGGACACGAGGAAAAGCACTTCGGCCAGCGTTTGATACCGAAATGGTTTGTCGCTGATTAAACGACTCGCGATCAAAACGAGCGTGATCAAGTGCAGGAAAATGGTCAAAAATTTCCACGCATTTCGAATTAAAATGAACTTTTTCCCGGTTTCTGGAACATGGAAGCCAACGAATTTAACCGTGCAAAGCGTCGGAACAAAACCAACGCTCGCCATTGTTCGTGACTCTTTGAAACTCCTTCGTCAAATACTTATTCTCACGCTGCATATTTGTCTAGTGATCAAGAAAAATGCCACCTCTGCAAGAAAGTGCTACTTCCTTCGTTTCCGTTTTGTAGAAAAATGGGTATAATTTAAAAAATGGTTGCTAAGAGTTTTTATTTCCACAACAGAAATGTTTCACCCATTAGAGAGAGCAATTGAATTATTGCTTTATAGAAATACATGCATTTAACCAAAACAATTGATAAATTTTGAAAAAAAAATACATTTGATTTGTCTGCTCATAATTCATTTGACGCAAATTGCGAATTTTGCAAAGTGATTTCCAAGGCTATTCGAAGACGAGCGGCATGAGAAATAAATCACCAAAGCCCGTGGGAGTTGCGTATCATGTTTCTCTCCACGTTTTTATTTTGTTCAAATTGCCTGCGAACTTGAATTAATATTTGTGGATCACGACAGCGTGGAAATTGCACGGCGTGCTATGAATTGCGCGTGACAGCACTCGATCGCTGAAACACAAATATATAATATAAAATAATGCATCGCCGGAAGCAAACAACACATCTGAAAAAAATCTGCACAAAACGTACTTCGCACACACCCGCTCGCAGATTCCATTGGAATCAATTTCCTGATTAGCCCACCGCACGATTCTGCGTCAATAATTATATTGCTATCAAAAAAGCCGCAGTCATGCAAGGACAGGGACGAATTAAATTTAAGCCCATAAGCGGTCACATTTTGATAAATTTTCATCTCAGCCGCACAAATCATTTTATTTCTAACGACCTCTTCGGTTAGTTGAGTAAAAAAAAATGAATTTTAATTATTTTGGCCTAAAGTAAATTCCTTTTTATTGAAATAATAGTTATAATTGAGGTGATCACTAAAATTCATTATATGTAGAATATTAAATTAATTTGGTCAACAGCTCATTTATATTGAGGGACATTCACTAGTGTGTGACTCCCGGGTAACCATGTTGTTATAAGAATTATAAGCTAGCCGGTGAGGATATCTGTATCTGTATTGAATGTCCCCCATTATTTTTTGGAAACAATGTTTAAATTAAATTATAGTAATTATCTTGTAAACAAATTTTTATAAACACAACAAACAATAATAATAATCACTAAATTTTTAGTTTAATTTTAGTTAAATATCTTCATCTTATATAAAAAATAAATTTTACATGTTAAAAATTTTAATTACCAATGTAAAGTTTATTTGTTGAGTTGTTATTAAATAAAACATTAGAGGAAAATAAAATTTTTCATCATCCATATAGTTGAATCAGTGCGTGTTTCTCATTTCTTTTTATATAGCAATTAAATTTCATGTCTGCAGGTTGGTTTAACGGTATTTTAATGATAAGTCAAAGCTTATTTAGCAACTTCTCACAACAACAGTATTTTCCAATTGACTAGGATTATTTAGCAACGTGCGCTATATGTTATAATTCCCCATAAAAATCACACACCCTGACGCAAAATCGCTCCTTAATAAGGCGCTCCTGACTTTTTACTCAACATAGGATTATCGCAGTCGCAATAATATGCAGCTTGAATATATGGAAATGAATTAGGAAGTGCTATCGGGATGATATACATAATTCCCCGTAAGTGTTCTATGGGGAAAAAAGCGCCGGTATTTTCGTTGGAGCGTGACAATCTCGCCTCGAATGTGTAAAAACTGGCGCGAGCTGTAAGGGTCTCTTATGTAACTTTCTCTTTCAATATAATCGGGCGCCGTCGACTGGAATGTTATTAAATGCACTTTTATTCGGCCGACCTTGGTGCCATTGACTTGCATTTTTCTCCACGCCACTTTTCGCTTCCGAAACGACGCACTCCAAGTTTTTTCTCGATTGTTGTTGTCCACAATTGTGGAGATGAGTCGTTGCTTGAAGACGTGCTCGGCACGCCGTATTATTATTTTCTCTTCATCACACAAAGCGGTCGTTGGCTTTCCTCAAATAAATTGAAGATCACACCCTTGAAAGTAACTACTTATTCGGCCAACGACTTTTTTTAACAATATGTTTGCTACGCTCTGCCTTTGTAATTTCATTCAAAATTTTCAATCTATAATTTTTTTAGTATATAATAACTCTTGAATTAATTTTTTGTTTATATTGTTCTGCATAATCAGTGAAAGTCATTAACTTACCAGGTTAAAAAAATATATCATTTTGGCTAGAATTGTCAGTGCTTTTTAGGAATTTCACGGCCAAAAAGGCGAGTTCGCCGGCAAAATTGTTTCTGTTCCGCGCGAATGACAAAAGCAATGTAAGCTTTTATTCTATTTAAAGCAATTTATTCCCCTTTGGTCGATTGACTTTGTAACAAAAACGAGTGCAAACCTTGAACAGTCGCACTGGGTCATGACTAGCGATCGTTGCAAATATAATAAATTGAAATCTATTTTAGCACAATTGCACCAATAGTCTGGTTTTACTTCTGCGGGTCGGACTCTCCAAATAAACCATCTTTACCACCAGAAAGAATTGTATTTGAAATTACAACCACAGTAATTGCAATTACAGGTACAATATATACGGATAGGCTGGCTTAGAAATCGATCGTCTGCCAACACCAGGTGATTTCAACATACCCTCAATTATTTTTAATGGTCAAAAATTTTTCTACATGAATGATGCCCGATACCTAGCCTAAAATTTCAAATGCTATTGAAGCGAGGTGAGCACGAAATCCATTGCATTATTGTTAATTAATATTAAATTTGATTTTTGTTATAAAAAACACCTACCTCGTTTTTCTTACAGTTTTAATAAACCATTTTATGAAACATGAAAAACATAAAAAAATCATAATTTAATTATTTAATCTGGCTAAAAATAATATTTGAATATACATTTTTTTAATTGATTTCTTTTTCAAACCTATGGTCAATTTTTTGACCGTTTTGTCACAATCTGAAGTTAATTTTTGTGAGGAAAATTAGCTACAAAAATTTAACAAAAGAAAATTCAGAATAGGATGATGATGGGTGAGAACAACAGACGTCTGGCCTTGCAGTGGAAGCTGAATGAAAAGGAAATCGAATTGAAGCGGTCGAGAAAAACCAAAAGTGGATATTTCTCTTTTTCACGTATAGCAGCAAGAAGCACAGTGACCTTATAAGAGGCAGTTGTGCGGAGCGTAGCAGAGCACGTAAACTCTTTCTTTTGCAACTTAGCCGATTGCCCGCCATATACAAATAAAGTTTACAATAAAAATAAAAGAGCTGAAATGAAACGAGGAAGCGAAATATAAAAAGAAGTCCCCTCCCTGCTTTTCAAGAGCAACATTTTATTTTCTTTCCTCGGCGTGACGAATGGAAAAAGAGCATCGGAACACAATTGCCGTCCAATGGCACTAATTACTCTTATGATTAGTAGTGGTGGTGCCCGATAGAGTTTGGAAGCTCTCGTGGTGGGTGGGTTTGGTGTGTAATTTACTCTGAAGGGCGGGTGGGGCGGCTTTTGAAACTGCTGCGGTCGAGCCGAGCTGGTGGCTCTATATAAGCCTTTGACTCTCAGTCCGAAGCATCATTCCTCAAGGAACGCATCCAAACAACCTCGTCAACCATGCACGCCGCTACCGTGAGTTACTTTAAACTTTTGCAGCAATTTATTTTACTACTTAGTCGGAACAGAAACAATCCTAAAAATAATCCTTAATCTGATCAAACTAGCAAAAAAAGCTCAAATTTTTAATATTTTTTAAAGATATTGTAAAAGTTTTTTGAACGTTCTATCTAAATTATTATGTACAAATTCTAAAATTTATTCATTCATCTTTCAATTTCTTTCTTTAACGTTACTCGGAGATGGGAAGTCCTTCAATTATCAATATTTAATTATTTTATCGAAAGTATAGGTATCTATATTATAAATTATTTAAAATGAAACAATTTTTTTAAAAGATACCAAGAACGATAAGAATTATTTTCGATATTTTATTTTGTAAACCATTAAAAAAATACTAATATTAATTTGTCCTAAATATGTTATAATTATCGAAATTTGCTGCTGCTCCAAGCAAAATCTCTTATTTTGTTTTGTTTCACGCATGTTCTATTCTTCTGAGAAGCAGTTCTGAGAGCAGTTTTTGAAATGTAATCACAACAAATTGCCCAAAAAGAGCGATATCACTTTTATTTATTTTATTGCCTTCAATATCTCTTGGCGTAGTATAGTGCACTTCCACTTAATCACCAGTTTATCATTTACCCTCAACAAAAAAATGATTTCTCTTGCAATTCACAATCAGTCGTAAATAACCGAAATGCGTTTCGCAAAAAGAAAATAACAGTACCAATAAATTGTCTCACCTTTGCTTAATAGCAACAACGTGTGCTTTAAAGAGTAATTTGTAGTTAGGAAGTCATGCGTGAACGCATTCCTTTATTGTCACTTGAACTGTGGTCGGCTTTCCTTGTACGTGTTGCAATTAGTGAAACTTAAAATCTTTAACCTCATTTAATTTTGAGTACTTATATTAAAAAAAAAAAACTTGCAAAAAAAACATAAATTTATGCTGCTTTCATAAATGTAATTTATCTTTGCAGCAAATGATTTTGTTATTTTTTTCTAAATTAAATTTTTTTTTTAATTAAAATTTAATAAATAGTTCCAATTTGATTGCAGAGAGTTTAAGTTTGCCATGATTATAATTTTTAAATTTATCTCTACACATTTTCATGTCAAGAATGTTTTCGTTTTTAATTTCAATTTTATTTTATACTGAGTTATTCTTGATTTTGCTAATAAATAAACTTTATTTAATGCCATTGAAATCTCAATAAATTTTTAATTAAAAATAATTTTTATGTTTACTTCAGTTCTTCGCCCTGGGCGCCGCCCTTGTTGCCGTTGCCAGCGCTGGCCCCCTCGTCCCCGTGGTGGCCCCCGTCCTGGCCTCCAACTACGCCTACCCCAAGTACTCTTTCAACTACGGAGTCAACGACCCCCACACCGGAGACCAGAAGAGCCAGTCCGAGACCCGCGACGGTGACGTTGTCAAGGGACAGTACTCGCTGGTGGAGCCCGACGGCACCATCCGCACCGTCGACTACACCGCCGACTCCATCAACGGCTTCAACGCCCACGTGACCAGGACCGGCCCCGCCGTCCACCCTGCCCCCGTCGTCAAGGTCGCCCCCATCATCAAGGCCGCCCCCTTGGTGCACGCCGCCCCCATTCTGGCCCCCTACGCCCACCACGGCTACCCCTATGCCGCCCCCCTGCACTACTACTAAACAATTCATCCGACTTGTAATTCCAAAGTCATAATTGCATAAGCCAGAATCGTCCCCCATTGATGTATAATAGAATTTCGCGCACATATAGTTCTCATTTTCATTCTGCATTATACACACACTGTAAAAATGATGTCGTCTTGTAATAAAATCTTACAAAAACTGTGATTTAAATTTTTAATTTTCTAACTAAAACCCTATTTACGAAACCAAGTATTTAAAAAAATATTAATTAATTACTAAATTTACCTCACATATTTTATCTTTTATTGTCCTTTGTATGATTTGTCGGTTTCGAGGCAAAAGCATATATGATTTATGATTTGCATTTTGTCAAAAATTTCAAAAGCTAGAGCTCAGCTCATTTGTGTAGCTTCTGAGGTAAATTCATTAAATTTCTCATACTTTTCTCCCTCCTTATTCCTTCAACTTCCTCCTCCACGCCCACATTTTCACGAACGCCCACTCGCTGAACTGTGTTTTGCTCTTGATGTCGCTTTTTGACAGAAATTTTTTTAAAGCTCTTTTTGATTCCAACGCTAAATTTGTTAAATTTTACTTTTAGCAGAAATACTTTTAAACTAAGATGATGGACCCAACGGAACAGAAGATTAAAGTGCAGAGAAAATTGGAGCAGGTAAATTTATTTACAGTTCGTTGATAGGAAGATTACTCATTTGATACACATTTAGGAATTGATCAACTTGAAAACTCTCAAAGAAAAGGTCAACAACAGCAATAAGATCACAAATGGGATGGTCAACATTCTGTCCTCTTTTGAGGATCGACTGGCAAGATTGGAAGAGACAATTTTGCCTGTTTACAATGAAACGGGAAATTTGCAGCGCCAACAAGAAAGTCTGTTCTTGTTAGGGAAATCACCTTCCCTTTATGACATTATTTTTATTCCAGATATTGAAAAGACTTTGGTCATTTTAGACAGCGTGATCAGCTATTACAGCGTGAGCCAAGAAGTGGAGGCTGTGATTCGCGATGGTCCTCGGTCCGCCAACGACGGCGATTTCAAACTTGAGCCATTTTTGGCAGCAATGTCTCGACTTCTGTCCGCCCAAGATTATTTTCAGAAGAACAACCCTCAAAGTGTGGAACTGCAAAATGTTGTAAGTTTTCTTATTACTTTTCATTAATTTAAAAATAGAATTAATTAATTTTTGATAAAAAAAAACTATTTGCAGACTGATTTATTTTCTACTGGTGGTGATGCCTTGAATAGAGAATTCAAAGAACTTTTGCAGAAACATAGCAAACCTGTTCCTCCAATTGTACTATTAGATCTTGTAGGGACTGGCGAAGGTGAAAATTAAATTTAAAAAAATGAGAGCTTGAATTTTCTTTTCTTTTTCAGACGGATCTTTAGATGATGTGCCTTTGACCTCCCTCAATCAACTTCCTGATGAAGTAACCTCTGAGCTGATTCGCATTGCCGATTGGCTTTTCGTCAACAATAAAGACGAGTTCATGCCAGTTTATGCAGAAATCAGAGCAAAGGTCATTCTCAGGTCACTTCAACTGTTGAAGGAGCAGCAGAGATCATCAAGCGGAGGAAGCTTGCAGTCTTATTCACCTCTTCCGGTTTGTTTTTGATGTTTTGAAAAAATATGTGTTAATGAAAATTTCAAAACTACAGAGGCCGAAATTCCAAAACCGAACGGCCGATACACCAGGACGGAGGGCATCAAGGCGTCTGCAGCAGGCATTGGAAAAAAAAGCAAGCAAAATGTTTCAGAAGGCCTCTCAGACACTAGAGCAGTCGACGGGACTCTCACTCGGACCTCGGCGATCAGGAATAAATCTTGGTAAGGACAAACTGTTTGAAAATCTGTATTTTCAACGTAAAATGTTTGGGACTTTTTCAGAGGTGAGAGAGGATGTGGTGGACGAGCAAGAGATGGAAAACTACTTGGTCTGTGTGATGGCCCTTCAAAAGCTTCTGCTTAGCGAAAGGTCGCTCATGTCCGGCATAATTCCTTTGGCTCACCATCCCAGGGTCTTCGAGACCATCATGCAAGACGCCATGGACATGGTTGTTCAAGATGGTGAGAATATTGCCACCAGGGCCAAGAGATGCATCAGCCGCAAAGACTTTGGAGCCGTCATGGTCGTTTACCCCATATTGAAAAATCTGCTCAACATGAGACCTGAATTCGAGAAAACCTTCGAAGGGTGTGATTTGAATGTGCGTTCAAAGTTCACTACCATCCTTAACACCCTTCACGCTACTGTGAGCTTGGAATCTTTTATAAAGGGAAATTTCTCAATTTAAATTGATAATTGCAGGGAGCCAAAGCGTTGGAAGAGTTTACTGAAAATGTCCACGGAGATTCAAGTTCTCAGCTGCCGAGCGACGGCACCGTGCATGAGTTGACTAGCAATGTCCTGATGTTCCTGGAACAGCTGACAGACTACACGGACACAATTGGTGGCATTTTGGAGAAGGAAACTGCCTACAGTCACGCTCTTGCAACTGCGCCTGGTCGAGCTGATAAAAACCGAACCCTGCTTGGAATTTATATTAGTAAGTAAGATTAATTTGTAATGTGATTTAAAAAGAACAATTATATTCAAATCAGTACAAAAATATTTAAAAATTCCATGCATTTAGTTCAATTTCATTAATTTTGAATGAGTTTGGAGCGAATTTTCTTTGTTTAATTGTTTCACCTCTCCATTTTAGAAAAAGTCCTTGCGCAGCTCAATCACACTCTGGTGAGCAAAAGTGAAGCTTACTCTGATCCAGGTCTTCGCTCTATTTTCCGGCTCAACAACAGCCAGTACGTTCTTAGCGCCCTGCACAGGTCAGGTCTGCTCGAGCTGGTCAGAAATTCTGTGCCTGATTTCGAAAACAACTATCATGACATGATCAGTGACTACAAAGCCGCCTACGCCAATAGGTAGTTTACTGGTTTTCTTAAATCGATTCTCTTACTTAAAAATCATCTTATTTAAGCTGGTCGAGAGTTGTAAATCACATTTCGATTGGAGAAGAAGCCATGGCGGTCCAGATGGGCGGGAAAATGCGAGACAAAGACCGGAACATCGTTAAAGAAAAATTTGCTGTAAGGCTTTGAATTGCTTTTCAATGTTGAGTTTAATTTGTTTTGACTAAATTTTTAGGGTTTCAACAAGGACATGGAGGAAATGTCCAAGCAGCAGAGGAGCTTCTCCATTCCAGACGATGATCTCAGACAAGTTCTGATTGCAGATAATGTTGAGTTGATTGTCCCCAAATACAAAATGTTTTACAACAAGTAGGATCGAAAACTGATTTAATTAAAGTGTTCTGAATTTTTCAATATTTTCCGCAGGTACAGCCATCTGCCTTTCACCAAAAACAAAGAGAAGTACATCAAATACACTCCTCAGCAGGTGCAGGACATGATAGAGCGATTCTTTGATCTTGCCGCATAATGAAAAGTGATAATTATTCAAAGACATTTCCACTTAAGAATTTATATTTATTTAAACACGGATACACATCAAGTTGATCGTTTTCTTCAAGTGATAATGGCTCTACGTACATTGATAGTTTTTAAGTAACTACTTTTCTCTCTACAGTTATTGTTTCGATATCATAATAATTTAGTGCTAACATCAATAAAAATAAAAAAGCAGTCACATTCATAAAATCTTGGTTTACAAAAGTTAAAAATAAAAGTAAATCAAATAGCTCATATCTTCCAGTGATGAGTGAATAAATAGGTGATGGGAAATAAACTGATTTAAGAAAACAACTGGCCTTATTTTGTTGTGATACTTAAATCATCCGGCATGGCAGTATTCTAGCAATTCTGAGTGTTTTAGAGAGAACTTTAAAAACTATTACATTATGTACTGGGATCACATTCAGAATCGCTGCTAGTGTGTATATAAGTAAGAAAAATATTTACACATTTAAGTAGAGTGCAGTAATAAATATATATCAAACGAATGCAAAATATATGACACAAAGAGCACATCCACATAGTACATAATATAGTTTTTACCATGTCCATCGAGAATCAAAATTCCGGATTTTGGACATTTTAAGTACATGATGCATTGTCACTGAGCAATCCACGTAAAATTCTCACGTAAACATTGATATGGAAAAAGACAAGTAGTGTACATAAATAAAAAAAGTCTCCATTTTACAGCATGCATCGACCTACGTGAAGAATCCTTTTACCAATTTTAGTTGGTTTTATAGCAATTATCGAGAAGTTCACACCTTTCATCGGATAATCAGGTCACAATTAGCACTTGAGAAGTTTTTTTTTATCAAATACCGCGTAAAACCTATCCAGCAAGTAAATTATACAATTGTTTGAAAGAGAATTACAATTACATGTAATGTGAAAAACGATGATAGGGAAATGCTTGTGTGGGACGATGTACGGAGGAGAGAAAGAACGCTTTTTACTTGCAAGTGTGAATATCTAACGTGCGAGTACAAGTGCGACATTCAACACTGCAACACCAATGGAATTTGCAGTCACATCTCTCGCGGATGGTGGTCTTCTGGGTGTTGTAGCCTCGACCGCAGCAAAGCAGGTTGCATCCGTCCAGACCGTGCGACGTTCGATTACACACTCGGCCGTGAGTCCCTTTAGAAGAAGGAAAATTACAGCATTTATTTATATTTTTATTAGTGATAAGAAAAAAATATTAAATTTTACCTTGCCAAAAATCAAATATTTCATCTCAATTCATTGGATTAATTTTTAAAACCCTAATTTATTTTTCAAAATTTGCCATTTTGGAAGTATATGACGCATAGAAGAGTAAAATACAAACAAATTTAACGAAAATTTACTGTTCAAAATGCTACGAAATGTTGAAAAATGACCTAAATTCTGGGGAAAATTATCTCTATTGAGTTTATCAACCCATAAAAATTAATGCTTTATGACAATTTTAATTAATATGAGAACAATTTTTTTATTAAATACTAAAAATAATATTTTTTATAAAGAATTATTAAATTTTATGGAAGAATTTTAATATAACTGTTATGTTGCTTCTTTACTTGTCATATACCGTAAATAGCTATACAATAGGCTGCATGATGCAATGAGATTTAAATCTGACCAGTGTACGCAGCAGAGTATTATTTTTCTCCTCCAACACTTTTGAGGTGGCAGTTAGGCAGATTTCATCCTCACGGCAATGCCATATAAAAATGAATTTATATACTTGTGCTTTTTACATACCCATGGATCCAAGTGCCAGATTCTTGACACAATAGTTGGGTGACTCGGACACGTAGACAAGATCATTTGCAGTTGGCATGTTATATCTTGAGTCTTTGATCTGCAAACGCCCACGTTTGTTCACCCGAACCTCGGTGGCTCCGTCGTACTTGTCTTTCAGGTAGTCGCCTGTGAAACACAAAAAAGTGTAAAGAAAACTAATAGAATCTTCATTAAAAAAAGACAAAATTTAGGAAAGTTTTCAGATAAAAAAGTCAGAAAAGTAGAATTTTAAATTAACTTTAAAGATAACAAAATATTTTTTGTATATTTATATTGTTGATTATATGTTTATTGTTTGAAAAAATGTTATAAAAAACATTAAAAAAATCTAATTTAAAAAGGGAAACAATGAAATTGAGATTTTAGATAACACCAAATGAAAACAGATAAAAAAAAATATGATAAAATTTTAAATCATTGGCTAATTATTTCTTAATTTATTTGTAATGTTAAATAAATTAATAACTCATATAAATGGGGTTAATAACTTTTTAATTTAAAATAAAATACAAAACAAATTGTTGTCTTAAGAGGAAGCAAGCACCCTGTTGACCCTGTGCGGAAAGATTAAATCCACTTTTTCATTCATTGTCTGACATTTTAAAGTTGAAAATGGAATTGGTTTGTTAAGCTGGCGGTTGGTGGCTGCTCGGTAGCACGATAATAATAATTGTGACAAATTCACTTAGCCGTAAGAGCCATTTGATAAAATTTATTGTGGCGTGGAAGACTGAATATGGAAACTCGTCGTTTGCTTGATTTGCATCAAAAGGAGAAAAGAGAGAAAAAATTAATGGGAAACCAGAGACACACTCTCGCTGTAATTTATTCCGCGGATTTACAAAGGCTAGTCGAGAGAGCGCATGCAAATTAAAAGCTAAGTATAAATTATCCGCAGCTTAATCGTGCATGAACATATGGAACTCGATATCCTTCCTTGATGCCAGATCAACTTTTTGAATGGCCTGCGTGGGAGCGATAATAAGAGTAGCGTTTTAATGTCATTTTAATTCTGGCAGGCGCCTTCTTCTAAATGCTGATTTTTATCGCACCGGTCCTTAATAAATTAATAGAGAGTGCTCTACTGGATCGCCTTGATCATTTGCGGGGCTTGAGATGTATCAATTTAATACGCAAATTAATGTGCAAATGAAGCGAGTTCCGCCTGCCATTAATTTAGAGTTGCGGCCTAGCTTGTTAATTGTGTGGGAGCAAAATCGGGTTTGTTCAAGGAAACTCAATTTATAATTTCGTTCGCTTGTTAACATTCTAAACACTGCATAGACTCTCCTGACATTTCAGTGTTCTGCCATAAATTAAAATTTAATATTTAAAAGTTAAAAAAATACGGTAATTTTCAAAATGAATCTTAAAAAACTGATGAGGAACAAAGGCTGGAGGAAAAGCCTAAATTGATATCTAAGAAATAAAAAAATGATCGATAAATTATATGGAAATTTCAGCGTTTCAAACAAAATTAATAATAAATAATTTTCATTTTTGCCAATTTAAATAAAATAAATTACACATTTCTCAAATTTTATTTACTCTCGGCAAAATATTTTTCATCTGTGTTGTGCCTCGCGCGGGAAGTGTATTTTCCATCATTTCAAGAGCGCTCTCCTCTCTATGCTTTTCCATTTTCCATCTTTTTATTTCGAGTGGGAGGAAGCAACCGGTGCGATATTATCATCACCCATTTCGGAGGTGCAAAAGTGCCGGGGCTGAAAAGGAGGTGCTCATAAATATTTTGCACCACGCAAGGAGAATTCACCCGAATGAGCTTTTACGGCCCAAGTTTGACGAGCGCGCGCTCTAAGTAGGCAACAAGCTTTTAGCAGCAGCATATAAGCAGCTTTGCTCGACATTATGTCGAACATAATATTTTATAAGTCTGCAAAGACCCCCAAGGTGTTTTCAGCACCCACAACTGAAGAAAATCAGGACGAAGAACTGTTTTTTTTTATAGATGAAAAACTTCTTCAAACTCTAAAATTTAGTCTCGCAAAACGTCAATTAATGACAATAAAAATATGTCCTTAACAAAATGAAATTAAAACAAAACAAAAATTGATCACAAAACTTAACTAGGAAAATGTCTTTGATGCAACAGGAAAATAAAAATTAAAACTATAGCCACTCGATTTTCTTTTTTATTCGTCTATTGTTTGCTGGATATCTTTCTGCATCGGCTCAATGTTGAGATACCTCATTATTTATTTTCATGAAAGGTATTGTTTTTAAATTGAAAACATATGAATTTTTAGCAGACACATCTGAACGCAGTGGGAAGCGAAACCGCACTCATGCGTACGTACAGTCGTACACTGGGAAATTATTCATCATACTCGTTTTGCATATTTTTCATTTGGAGGCGAGCGAGACGAGCAAGATTAACTTTTTCTGACATTTCACATGACCCAACCTCCATTCAAGCAATTTATTGAAAACCACAAACGACTGCTTTTGCGCCGCAAGTGCAGCTCAGAGACCTTTTAGCCGCAACTCGGTGTGGGAAACAATTTAGTGAATTATCACAATTTTTAAAAAGCAATTGAACGCTTTCATTACAAGATATTATTTATAGAAATATATATGCGTCAGTTTATAAGTTTATATGATTTTAAATTGGGTAATTAGATTAAAAAACAACAATTTTCCCGTGAGTGAATAGAATTGACAGTAAATTTCAACGAATTCTTTGAATTCATTTTATACGAATTTACAAAATAATATTTTAGACCCTTTTAGTAAATTTGGTGACTATTGCATTTTGACTTGTTCAGATATAAATAAAACGAATGTTTGATACTGAGTTGTGAAATGTACTCAATCATTCAATTTACGCTCAAATTGGATCAAAAGCTCAGCAAATCCAATTGGAAACGTCAAATTTAATAAAAATCTTTGTTCACCGTGGCGGAGATAATTAGATGATAAATTACCGCTGGTGAAATTTCATCTTCTGTTGGTTGTCATGCAAGCAGAGATTAAATCGAATTGGTCTCTCTTACTCGAATTTTCAATCAAATCTGTTTCCCAACGATCAATGACAGATGCAAATCAATTACCAGCCGCTCCGAGGCCCCAACCACTCGAACGCGCCGATTAAATTAATATTATAAATTCTGCGCTCAGATAGAAAGTTGAATGGATTATTTTGTTGCCGGCGTAATTACACGAAAGTGCACCTGTGTTGTATTTGAAACGCGATACCCGAGGAGGCGTGGCGCTCGGGCAGATTAGCACCTCGGCAATTTGGGGCTTTCTCCGAACTGGACCACCGGGGTTCCAAAATCTGCAAGCTCTCTTCAGTCAGGCTTTTATTGATAGACGTCCCATTTATCACGTCAGCATGGCAGACACCAAGCTCAGGAAGGATTCGCATGATCGCAATCTCGAGTTTTAGTTTAATTAATCAAGCTTACAGAATCACATTTATCAATATTTCGCAGCCACAAATCACATGACCGTGAGGGATGAACATGTTTCTCAATATTTTAATTATAAGATTTTTATTTAATTAACCTGATACCTGACGATAGGAAATTTTTAATAATCATAATACGCTTATCACATGAATTTATCTTAAATTTTTTATTCTCGTTCTGCTAAATAAATTTTAAGGACAAAACCTCCTAAATTTGGTCTCACAAAAAAAATGAGCTCACAGTTTTTTGCAATAATTTGTTCAAGCTATTAAAATTTATTAAATTGACCCCAAAACATATTTCATTCCTGTGGTTAACTTTCGTCAAATGAAACTCCGCACCTGAGCCAGATTGATTTCAAAGAGCGCCTTTCCATTATTTGGATATACTATCAAATTTCGCGTCTGCGTAAAAAAACTAATCGCGGCGGTTGCGAAACTTGCTGCTGACTGCGCGCGGTAGTTTCAGTTTACAAATTTATTTGATTTGGCCCACGGGTCTAAGTAATTATCAATCCAGCGGGTAATTAATATCGAGAGTTGAGCAAACGATAACGGCCGAATATGCAAATGCGCGTGCGGGAGAGATCATTATTTCCTGCAGCGCAACAACTCGCGCGCACTGCCGCATTTTTTAACCTGCAAAATATGATTTTAATAATAAAAATAAATCCCGCCAGCAGTCGAGTGACGCAAGTTCAATTATTAATAATTTTATATAGATGCACTTTTGCATTTTATACATATTATGTTCGCGATAAGATCTTTGTTTCTTTTTTTAATTACAAAACGCCACTCGTCGTCATATCACGCAGGTAATTATCTCATTTCTACATCTGGCAGGTGCGTTTCACTCGCCGGTAGAAAATGAAATAAATTATATTTTCCGTATTCGCCATTAACATTCCTCTCTCTTCGTTGTGACACTCTCGAGTTATCAAAGCACATGCACACGATTGCTTTATAATTCTTCATGCTCTCCAACTTTGAAAGATTTGTGCAAGGCATCAAAGGCTTGCTATCTTTTAGTTCGAAAGAGAACACATGAGAGTAGAAAGAACACTTACCTATTTCTCTGAAGGGGGCGATTTGATGCCAGCACGTGATTAAGCTGCACGATCCGGACACTCCGTGGCATTTGCAAGTCACTTTTGTCTTTTTGATCACGGCCTGAAAAAAAAAGGAAAAAATTTAATTTATTAGAGGGGAAAGACCAAAATAGAAAGTTCAGAGTGCGAAAATTTTGATTTACATCCTAATCGCAACATTTTAAAATGAATTTCTACGTCTATTTTTATTGGAATAATGTAATTTTTTTTAATTGTTAATTTTTGCTGGATTAAAAACCCATGTTATTCCTTATTTCTGTTGTGTTTTATTCTACTAAAACTCCAAAACACACGATAGGGTTTTGAATGTGGGGTGGTAATTTACGAGTTGTAATGTTCCAAAATTAACAAAAAAATTAATTTCAATCAATAAAACTTTTGCTCTACATCAAATTTTTAAATAGCCTTCTTTTCTTTTTTGGTGATTGATATATTTATAATTGAATTAATTTAATTTACCTGATTTTTTGCATCCTTGAAAATTAATATTAAAAACTAAAACAAAAAGCATAATAGATTTTTTGATACAGCAAACTCAATAATACGTTTATATGATTATTAAATAAAATGATTTTAAACAGGAATTTGTTCAATTGATGAATAACCGCAGCAATTTTCCACGTCCCTGAACTTGCCGACAGCCGCCGCCCAGACGCGTCGGTTTCGAATCTGACTCACGCGCGCGGTCAAAATCAATTAGACGCAAAAACGCATCCCTCAACTGCGGCCGCACACCAATTAATCCGACTAAGCGCGCAAAAAGGTTTGTGCGGTTCATCCACCTGCTATGGCTCTTATCCAAACGAGCTGAATTATATAAACGCTCGGCGGCGGAGAAAACTCTCTGGGGACTGCAATGCATGGTTCGCTGTTTGCTCGTCTGCGAGCGAATAGTGTGCGCGCGGATTAAATGTATTAATTAGCAGTGCCTTAATATTTGTACAGCAATATCGCTGATGAGCTAACTCGCTGGGCCGAATAATTCCGAGTCTGCCAACCATCCATCGTCCGAATCGACACGAGAGGGATTATAAAACAAAACCGACGAAACGCAAATATTTGACGCGGCTCAGAGTTGCTTTATGCACGGCTAAATTATTCATGCTTGACGCAAATCCAGCGGATTGAGCCGATTTTCGCAAACGGCCAAAGAAGAGCAGATGAATTTGAAGCTTCGTTGACAGCCGAACATTCTGCCTGACATTGCATTTATCCGCTAATGGTTTCCCTCTCGTGCCATTTACATTGTGTGGTAATAAGGCTTAAATTCAATGCAAAGAAAGATTTATTTTTTCAAAGAACGAAAAATTTTCTTTTTTCAATCTGATGTGTTTGATTATTTGCCAAAATCTTTAATTCTCATATTAATACAACATAATTAAAAGACTATTTTCATAAATTTTCAAATAGGAAAAATAAATTTCAGCATCTGCATATTTGGTAACTTATCATGGTTGTTAAGTTATTGAATAATCTATTAATCTGTAATATTTGCCCTATATAAGGGTGCATTTCAAATTTTTTGTTTTTAGATAGGCGTCACAATTTTCTCACAATCAGATCAGAGGTCGTTGGCTTTTCATGCGATGTAGAAGCTTGAATGGGACCATATTACTAAATGTATATTATCGTTTTCTTTGTTTGCTATCTAATCATTTTACCATGTTAGAAGCAATTGAATTTTCCCTTGATTGTTCCAAAAATATGCGTGCTTAAAAAGTGACTCAAATAATATAAAATATACAGTCCATAAAAATTATCTAAATTATCTTACGAACCAAAAGAAGTACCTGAGTAAGTTTTATGTTATATGTTAACAGACATGTGATGCAGGTTGCATCTCTTATGTTTTGTCACCCAGAGGAGAAATGAATATTTAACTCAGTTTAACTGTTGAAACCACCAAATTTGCAACATTTGGTTGATTGAAGATGGTCATGATAAAACTATGGAATAAAATTTACAATAGATGGAGAAAAATTATTTGCCTTGATAAATCAATATTGAAAAATTCCAATCGGGGAAATTAGTGGCGGCAATAAGGGGGCAATATTATTAATTACAGCTATGCCTGAGCAAATGTTATTGTAAAAAATTTTAAGATGCAAAGTTTTTCTTTTACCTTCGATTTCTAGATTGAAATCGTTTTTTGCTCGCTATAATTTAAAACAAAAAAATTATGTCCCGGAATCTTGAAAGATTTTTTAAAAGTCCTTTTAGGGTATAAAATGTAGCCAACAAAACGCAATTAAGAGACAAAATTAAATCAGATTCTGTGGTGGATGCGGCACTGTAGTTAATTTTCCAAAAGGCGCAGTCGGTGAGCATCAGAGAATTTCGTGACGCTCCAATTTCACGCTGCTCTGCGCACCGCGGTCGTCGAGTGAAAAATTGAAAAGTATTTTGGTCGTTTCGACGAAAGAGGCGGTCATGCACGAAATGACATGTGAAAGGTCACCAAATAATAATTCTACTCACTCTGCGGCCGGCCTCGTTGTTGTGCAGGTTCATCAGTTGGCGGCCCTGCTCCCTGGTGCCTCGCTTGTGGGTCTTCTCGCGCTCCCGCACGTCCACGAATCCTTGCGTGAACCTGCCAGACAGAAAGAAACACATCGCGTGCGATTAACCCTTTGCCCGCCGGGATCGAGAGTCTTGTTTCGCAGGTGCGAAAATTAAAACTGCATTGCGGAACTCTCTCGCAAGGTTGCGGTCAAAACGCTATCTCAGAAATATTGAGATACGGTGGGATAATTTTGGAAGAAAGAGGGCCGCAAATTTTTGAGTGCGTATGGAATATTATAAAGCAGCACATGTCATCTTAATGTTCATGTGCAGAATAATGAGGATTCATGAGTTAAAAAAAGGAAAATACTATTTTTATTTCATAAATTAATGCATTTAAATAGATTTTTTTTTAAATTTTAAATTTCATCAAATTTTACTTAGAGTTTCATCAAATTCCATGTAAATTAAATTTGTTGCTTACTAACATTGTGTAAATAAATAATAATTGAATATTATTTAATTTTGATTAAATTTATATATTTTATTTTTTGAATACTTACTTGTATCCATATTCCAGGTTGTCCCCGCAGCCTCCCCAAATCCAGTCCCTCCTCAGGTCTCTCGGTCTCCTGGCCCTGGAGCATCCACAAGAGGAAAGGGAGCCGTCCCTGCAGGCCCTGGCCACCGAGTGCACCACTCCGGCTGCGCCCACGGCGTGCGTGAAGGCCGCTTCTCTGCTCGCTGAAACGAATTTTCCTTCTCATTAAAAGCGAAAATCCAACTTTCCTCGTGTAATTTATTCAAAATTGGTCGTCATTATATGAACAAAAAATAAAATTACTATCGACGCGTTTTTGTGCTTTTTATTAAAGTAATGATGGGCATTATTTTTTACACTGGGTGTGAACCTCGGGTGCGAAATTTGCTTGCTTGGGTGGTCTTTGGCATGAGTTTCGCTCCGCAAATCGGTCACTTTCAAGTTCGGCAGCAAAAAGGGGACAAGAAACTCCCATCATCATCATTTGCGATGGGACGCTGAATTTGAGAAGAGATATATTTTGTACATTGGGTTCCCGTGCGCGTTTATTGTGTTTATGTAATTAAGTAAAAGAGTGGCGATACGTGTGATTATTATGAGGCGGAATGCGCGCCACATTATTGGCCATAATAACAGTGCGCGTGAAAATCTCAAGGATCGAATCGGTCAATTATTATAGAAAAATCAGGTTTCCAGTCAAACTGTAATTTGCAGCTGAATGGCTTAATCTTTTGGAAAGGTTTTTTCCGTTGCTTTTTCCTTCTTCTATAATCAAACTTTACATTTAAAAAAGCGCAGTTAAAAAAAATCACAAATAAATTAAAAATAAGCACCAAACTTTCTTTTTAGGTTTGATTATAATAATTTTACAAACCTGCACATTAAAATTTATTTAGTTTAATTGAAACCCCTTTTTTCCAATTTAATATAGTTTTAGTTCCAATCATTTCATATTGTACCAAAAAAATAAATGTTTTTTTTTGCCATTAAATAATTTTTTCATTGGAAATTAAATTAATTATTTACAAAATTTTTGAAATTTTTAAGAAATATTTTGCTCTGAACTAAATTTCATCCAAAATGAAAATTAATTTGTTGTCCTCCCGATAGAAATAATGCATTTTGGCACGTCCCCAGTTTTCATGGTTGCTTTATTTTTCAGCCGAGTGACAATAAGAAATATTTACCATCATTAAAATGCTTGTGAAGGAAGAGGCCTCTTTGTTGGCAGTAAAAACGTCAGGCTTTAACGAAATACAAACACTCGTTTAATTTTACGGTTGAGTTTGCGTCGGCGGGCGCGCAGTCAATTAACTCACCGTTTTCGCTCAAATAATGAGGTGTCAATACTTTAATGAGTGCTGGTAGCAGAGGAGGAAAGTGCCCGAGTTGTGATTCATGGACGGACCACACTCTGCACAGGGCAGACAAAGAAGAAATTTAATATAAATTTAAAACATATTTAACTAAAAAAAGAGCATAGGCTGAGAAAGATGGACAAATTATATATATTAGTTCTGATTTAATTTAAAATTTTAATTGGACATTTAATGTTTTTAAATTTATTTCAAAGTATTTTGTTGTGAAATTTTAGTACGTCCCTCGTACAATTGAAAGACAAACAAACTACCGCTTGGCAGGCCCTCAGCATCGTGTGAAATTAAATTAAAAGACTCCCGGCCGGTCCGAATGATTTATGGACGCTGCATTTGAATTTTAATTAGCTCGCAGATTATTATCTTGCGCGTGTTGTGGGCAATAAGTCAAAATGTGTCAAAATTTTTCGTAGTAAATTGATCTGTCAAGGGACCACCATCGGAAAGTTGAGAAATTTGTTGTGTTTTCAGCCCAAACAGATCTGTATCAATGTAAAATATTAATATGCGGGACACTCGCGCCGGCAAATTATAATGAGAGAGTTTCGTTAAACTGGTCCTCGAGAAATTAGGCTGGTTTGGCCAGATTTTGATCTGTTTACAGGCGGAATTTGTTCCTTGCCATATCGCCTGAGAGAAGCAACAACCGCCTCCATAAATTTCACTTTGAGCGCCGGCAACCGACAGGGTAGTTTATTATTTTCCGTGGGTCTGAAACCAGAAACGAGCCTCATCTTCACCGAACATGTAAGAAGAGGAAATGGGAAAGCTTTCACGTCTATGCCTTTTCGTGTTCGTTTTAATTAAGACGTTCTTTCACATGCAATCCAGACATAATCATATATTTTAAAATTGACACAGGCTCATATTTATTGGCATTGGTACACCTCTTTTTGGAAATTAAAATAAATTTTAAAGGAGTCACAAATAGCAAACATTTTATAACAATTTTGCACGAGATTCTTTCTTGGCTCTTCAATTAATCTTCCAGATCAGCGAACTCCTAAATTTTTTTTATAATGTAATGACTTTAATTGTTATGAATTCAATTCATAAAATCAATTTTTAATTGAATTTAAATTTTAAATATTAAAACGGAAAAATTTGCCATAAGAGTTTAAAGTTTGGAATCTGTTTTTGGAATTCAATTTATTTGTTCATAATAAAAAATAATATTAGAAGAAACGTTTATCACATTGTCATGGTATTGGTTTCAAATTAGGAATTGGTCTAGGGGAGATGCAGTGATTTTGTATGCAAGAATTTTGTAAGTGGGTGCCAGAAAACAATGATCTTGGCAGCGACTTAATTACTATGCATCCCTCAATTAGCATAACGAAGGAGGCGCAGCCGCCGAATGGCCCCTCGGCTCAATCAATCAATCGAATGTCCATTTTCTAATTAAATAAGCAGCCTGGGCGGATGATGAAGTGTCATAAAAGCGCCACGACCTTTTTCCATAACCGCTTCGGGGCTACTCGGAGAGATAAAATGAAACCAAAACAATTCCGGCCCCACCGATCATATTATAATAAATTTATGAAAAAATACTTTTGCTCCGAAAGCACTTTGCTTCGTATCAGCCAGAGCGTGATTAATTGCGTTCTGGTGTCCGGCGACTTCTTTGGGCTGAGGTTTTCCACCTTCGCGTGCGGCCTGTTTATAGAGAAGGCGATTATTTGTTTTGAAAAGCTGCTGTCACCCGCGCTGTAAAATTTAATCTGGACATTAACAGTGACGCGCGGTCATTGTGTAATGGACTCCAACAAATTGTCCTGACAGTTTGTGGGTGGTTGCAGGGTCCGAATCGACTCCCACCAGCTACTTTCGAATTTTCAGACGCTTCACGCCGTCGAGGGAATTTAACAATTTTCGGCGGCGGCGGCGCCGGTGCGTGCATTGAGACGTCAGTCCTAGCAGTGATTTATTTCGAAAAACACCGTCATTATCCGGTTGTTTGGGAGGAAGATCCTCCCCTCCCTTCTGCGGCGGTAATCCAATTATTTATAAATATTTATCAAGGTATTTTGACGCATTAGAATATAATATATATTTGTCAGCGGAATTTGCATATAAATTCCAAGCGCGGTACGCCCGTCGGAAAGTAAGTGTAATTTATGGCGTGTGTCTCGAGATTTATTTCGTCCTAAATGTTAATTGTTAGAAGGGAAGCTGTGTTAATTGCGCCCCGGCCGAAATGGAACAAAACACGAACGGTGCGGCCATTAATCAGCGGATTATGGGCCATGAATTGATTTCAACACACACACGCCGCGGCAAAAGGTGCACTCTATTGTGCGAAAGCGCTTGATTTATGCCACCTGGGAACAACTGCGGGCGTTCTTCTTTCCACTCAAGGTGCGAAAATTCTCTCAGGAGAGGGATAACTTCACAGAGTAGTGTCAGATTCGAAATTGGAAATTTTCTTACAAAATCTTCCTTGAAAGGGAATAAATTTACAACTTTAATAAATTCCTTTTTTTTAAACATTTTAACTGTTGATTAAATTTATTTTGATAATTAGCAGAATTAAAAAAAAATTAAATTAAATTTTTGATTTGTTTCAACTGGTATTATAATAATCATAAGGACGAGTTAAAACCAAAATATTTCAAATAATAACATTATAAAATTTTCTCAAACAAATTGCTTAAAAAAATTTAATGTGAGTAACAATTTAACAAACAACAATTAACTAATTTGATCTTCATTTATTAAAAAAATCCTCTTTTACTTAAAATGGGCAATAAATAACATTGAAATGATTTTGACATTCTTTATTCTTAAAAGACTAATTTTACTAGTTGTTTTTAAAAACAAAAATCAAAGAATAGCACTGAAATTAATTAAATCTTCATTTATTCCATTAAACACATGTTTTTATTTTCCATTTGAGGAAATAAGTTTTTTCAATTTCATTGCATTTGAATTTGAAGTGCATTTTTTTGTACCTATTATATTATTCTTGCTTACCTATATCGAGGACAGGGCCCATGACCGACGAGTCCTGGAAAGTGGAGCAGTTCCAGCGGCGGTCCCGGAATTGCCACTGGCACTCTGCGATTCCGGCCCTGGCCCCGCGACCCACCCACGGCATGTGGTCCAGGTAAAGCTGGCAGAGTTTCCTTTGTCCCGCTGACAGTCCGACCACATTTGCACATAATGGAGTGTCGCCGTTGCTGCTGCCGGGCCCGCCGCCGTTTGCCGGTGCAGCAGGTTCGCCTTCGGGCTCGACCAAGTTCCTGGAACAATATGCAGAGAGTTGTAATTTTGCTTTTAAATTAATTTCACTCCGCGACACACCCGTGCGTCGTAAATGCTGGGGTTAAACCCTTTTGCCCATTCGTTGGACAAACAGGAACTGTTTGTTTTCCATTAATGCATGCAAATTCATTTTACAAAAACTGATAATTTATTTGCATTGAAATTAGTTTGGTGCGATTTCAACAAAACATAAATTTCAAATGAGGGCTGTTGAGGGATGAACTGCTCAATCTTCAAATAAGTTTATTGATCTTTTATCCAGAAAATTTTTTTAATTAAAAGTTGATGAATAGAAATTTTTTAACTTAAAAAATGTGTTCAAGTGTTAAATAAGTAGAAATTAATTATTTACAACATAGAAGTTTCTAAGTAAAAATATTGTGCAACTTTTTAAAAAACTTACAAATTAATATTTAATAATAAGTATAATATTTCTTCTTCTTAATTGAAACTTCATCATTCTTATTTTCATTTAAATATTATAATTATATATATATTATTTAGTCATTATTATTTTTTTTATATATTTTCACCAGCATCGAAACAAAATTTATTTTAAGTCAAGCCTGTATTTACAATTTTTTAATATATATTTTAGCGACCATTCATTTCAAGTGACTTAAAGTCTGGTTTTAAAAGCCATTCGATGTGCACTACCTAAGATACTTTAATACTAAATCCTTTTTTAAAATAATTGAATTTAACAATCGAATGTTTTCTTACAATGTGGACAAAAAAAAAACACAATAATAATTTGTTTATATTACTCAAATTTTTTCTTAGACTCTAAATCTAGACTGATTTTAGAGCTTAAATGCTATGCAAAAGTTTTTTTTTAATCGATTCAAGTCAATTTTAATGGCGTTCAAATTGCACATTTTACGTGCTCTGATATTGGGTGAAAAACAGCTTGGCATTTAAATGTGCAAGTACTTCTGAAATCGCCCGTTAAGGTCACAGCCACTTAATTGACTGTGAGAGAGCGAGAAATTCACTTTTCCTGATTTGGAATGTCGGAGCCGTCGATGAAGTGGGTTATGCGCAATGATCATACATATATGCGTATGCGTGCGATTTGCATGATTTTTTTGCATTGCTCAATTCACTGCTGTGTATGTCGGTGCGCGGCAGTGATTTGTTTTCTCATTCGCGATTGAATAAATAAATAAATATAATTTTTCTTTTAGCGCGCTCTTGCCTATCCAAAGGCGCAATACACACACAATAAAGTATGAGATATCAATAAATCTGCGAATAAATCACTCGGCGCGCATGATTCGAGCCGTGCACAATAAGTGAGTGCCGATGGTGCTGCGATACCATGCACGTATGGCTGCCTGCGCGATGCGGATTTCTGATCGCCGCCGAAGATTAGCAACAATCCGCGCTCGCCGCGGTGATACCATAAATAAAATAAAGGCGCTCTTCGCCCCAGCAAATTTAAAATCGTATAAGAGTTTTTGGCCGACGGCGTGACTATTCATCAAAAGCGGCGGCCTCGCCACTTTTCCTATAAATATGTATTGATCGCTGAAAATTCCGCTACACGCGATTTATCTTTTGCTATAAAACAAAGCACATAAAGCCTAAAATCAACTGTGCTGATGATGATGATGATAAAGAATTGAAGGTGATGAATCCTGACGTGGAGCAAACGAATCAGATCATAGTAATTTAATGACCCATTTAATTGAATTTGTTTCTAATAAACTTTACAGCAATAGTATAATTTCACAGAATGGATTTTTTAAATAATGTTATGAAAAATGATGAAAAAATTATTTTTTTAAGCATCCTCAGCAATGACGACGAGAGCAGCTGCCTTAGGCGCTAAATAGCTTGGAACCCTTTTTAATATTCTTATCATATAAATTTATGTACATTGCTGGATACACTTCAATTTTCTCTTGCATTGACAAGTGGCTTATAAATCATTTTGACGCCCTTATTAATATTCAGGTGCGACAATCACGTCTGAAGGTGAACTGAGCCGGGAAAAGAATCAGCAGTCAATTATGAGATGAATTTATTTCATTTATTTTTTCTTTCTTAACCAGAAAAATTTCAATAAGAAGATTTTATTTGCATCGCAACTAATTGCGTTGCCATATGATTTAGTGTTGTTTTTCATAAAGAAAGATTGCAACAAATAATCACACCGTGAAGTATGCGAGAATAGGTACATGCATCACCAGAGTGAATTATGGGTAATTTTATACCTCCATATGGCTGCACGTCACCTCGTATTTGTTTTGCTTGCACCGCATCACAGTATCAATTTATAACAATCCTTATCCAGCTGCGCGCTGCATTTTAATTGTCTCTTTCAACAGCACCAACCAGGCAACACATAAAATATAGCTCGTTTAATTGTTACGGCACGACTGTAACATTTAAATAATTAGTAAAAGGTGACCTGCGCTAACTTCATATATAGTCTCATAATTTGTTTTCAACGGTTTTATTATAAATTGAATTTTAATTGTTTTGAAAAAGATAAAACTTATTATTATTTTCAAATGGGCCATTAGGCAATGTCTTCCCATTTTGAGATAGATCGTACAATTATATAATTAAAAAAAAAATGTTAAAAAAACCACAAAACGTGAAAAGAGGAAAAAATTACTCATTTTTTTCAGAAAGTTTTTTTGGGAGGGGAGGGGAATTAAATTATCAAAGTTGTTATTAAATGAATGATTTAAATTAAAAACATTTACGATAGAAATTTTCCAAGACTCAACTCATCACTACATTTATTGCAAGTTTTGCAATGCCCATTACGCAGGGTTCGATTGCACACAGGTGTGGTGCTCATCAAAAGGCAGCTTTTAGAGCGAGCGGTGTTCACATTGAACCCTGGCTATCAAATTTTGCCGCAACCTTCACCCATCGTCACCTCCGACGGTGTTTGTGTGTGTGACAGTAAAACTTGTATCTTTACTGCGGCATTTGCTGGGCTTGGCATTTTCTAATTATTGAGTAATTATTGCTCATAAATAATGGGCAAAACGAATGGCGAGAGGGGCACCATCACTCATGGAAAAATGTGACATCGCCGCTCGCCGAAGAAGAAAGTGCCGCAAAGTTGTGAGCTTTTTTTTCACTCCTAAACCTGCCCAGCTTTTAAAAATTTTACGCTTGGATAATCACCTGTGACACTGATGCAAAAGTACTGCTAAAAAATTAAAATATAAACAAGTGTTTCAAGACATATTTCATACTTTTACTTGATATTTATAAACTGTCCCCACTGCAGAAAAGATACAAAGAATAATTTATTTTTTAAATCAACTTGCAATATTTCTACTTTAGAAAAAAAGCATCAAAAATATATATCATTTTGAAGAGCAGGAAATCCCAAGACGTTTGCGAGGTACAAATAAAATATAATCTTTTAATGTAGAATTATATTGCTGTGAAACTGATTTTGCCGCGCATGACTTTGCATTATTTTCCCCGGCACGACTGAAACGTGAGACAGTTAATCTACCTGACTGACTGAAACGAACGATGCTCCATCAAAGTTTTGTATTCGCGCTAATGACACATCAAAGCACAAATCGAAACGCGCGGTGATAGCGAGCGTTTTTCAATTTTTCATTTCTTCCATTCCGAGTCGCGGGCATTTGTTGATGTGCCTAATTAATGATTGCTTTAGAGAAAAATGAGATAAATGTGCCGTGTGTCTCATTCGCTTTATCGAGCTGCGAGTGAAAATCGATGAAAAATATAAACCTTGAAGGGCAAATTACCGGCGTGTCTTTCGAATGAACTTCATCTTGTATCGTTAACCCGACTGCTGCGGTTCATTAGTTAAGTTTTCTTTCTCTGGATGTGTGCGTGGGTGGCACAGACGTACGTCAAATTACGCAATTTCACTTCTTCTTCTTCTTTTAAAACACGCCTGATGATTTCGTTGATTTGTTGAATAAGGCGAGTGCATGAAAACAGAAATTATAGCCCGCCTGACATTTAAAGGACAAGTTGATTTCGGCTCTTTTTCATCATTCTTGTGAATTTAATTACCACTCTTATAAGAGCACAAATTCAGACGTTAGTTTGAATAATCTGACAAAGAGTAGAGCTTATTTGGGTTTGTGTATAATTAAAATTCTGAAAAGAGCACAAAAGTATATTCGATTTTTTTTTCACTGTATATTATTACTTCATAATTATCTTAGAATAATAGTTGAACAATACACAGATGGTAATTATCAAGTTTTTAAAATATCCTTCAAATGTACATCAAAATCTACTGAATATTATGCAGTATTATAGTATTTTGAATTTTGGACTAATGATACAATGTCTTACAAGATTAAAATATGGAATTTAATGTTTTACGGAAAATAAATTAATTAATGTCTTTAGTGATTAATATCTTTCTAGTTGTTTCTAGTGTAGCTTGTAGATCTTGAGAAAAGCCGCTGCTTTCACCGTATCGAACGCACATTCAAATATGGACATGTCCTCCCCAGTTATTGAACAACAGGCAGCAAGTGATTTTCAATTGAAAAATGTTTACGGTCGACGTAAAAATTAAAATTTCCTTCTGTGAATGGACGGTGTGTGATGCAGCATCTCATTGAAATCGCGTGTAGTGCGCGGTATACAATAAGAATTCCTGCAGAGCGGCCAATAAAGCAGTTTGCTTGACGCAAAGGGTAATTTCATTGCGCGTTCGACACCATAAAAGGCGGCCAACGCACATAGGACATAATTGTCCCCATCATCATGAGTGCACTTTGCTTCAATTGCAGCTGGCTCTCCAGGGATATCTCAAATACAAATAATGTTTTGTGCCGCCCATGGAGAGAACGAGAGGCATCAATCGCAGAGACCACGCAATGAAGTGTGTTGCTCCTCACTATCAGCAATAAAAAAAATACTCTAGAAATTTTTTTCTAGAATTACTCAAATTTTATTTAAAGTGGTTTATATGACACTTATATAATAAATCTTCCTTTGAAATGAAATT